TTTGCCTGGTTTCCGCGAATTTTCACTGGTTTTTGAGAATCAAGCAAATAAATCAACAGAATTTGGCATAGATACCTGCTGAAATTGGGCCTCCAATACATCAGCGGTACTCTAAAAACATGTTTATATGTTGTATTCCCACCTGTAGATTCTAATGCAACTCTCTGTTTCTCATATGGTTCCATGGTTATGGCCCTGGCTTCCATTTTATCGGGTTTGAAATCCCCCTTTTCACCACTTGTCCCCCTTCTTGACCGAAAACTTGTTAGCAAAGTGTCTTGTAGTGGTAAAAGTGTAATGGATATGGAATCCCCATGTGCTCACCTCCCTAACCCTCTGTGAACCTCCCCAAAACCCTTCTCCCTTTCAAAAATATCAACAAATTTATCCAAATTTATCACTTTCACAACTTCCTTCTTTTTCTATCAACTTTCCAAAATGTATCTCCCTCTTCCCAATCTTAACTGCAAATGTTGTATTCGGTCGATTATAATAGAATGAGCCAAAGATTGATCGATATAACTATTCATAAGGTGAAAGATCTGGTTCCTTCACCAGTGTTTACACATCTATCTCTATGTATTCCTCGAAGATTTTTCAAATTGAAAATCAAATCAAAATAATTATGTAATCGAGGTCGGAATATGTTATAACGTCACGTGATATGCCTCGGAATTTGGAATTTGTTGCGCGTACCATGGTATTGCTGCACAAGTATGATAGCTGTTGGTGAGGTTTATGTCGAAAACGGGGGTTAAAATTTTGATGATTTTTTGGCGTCTTCTATTTTTTGGTGTCTCTAAAGAGACCATTGAATCCCCTTTAGTTTTGGAACGTGGATTTTAAGATGGAACCTGGATTTCAAGATACCGAAAGTTCGCTCCACTGTATTTCTATACAAATCGTGATATTATAAAACCAGCAATAATTACTTTTTTCAAAGTACATATGGTCCACAAGCTGGTTTGGGGTTTAACTATTAGTTACCATGCCAGGTATGGATCTCATGTGTTTATATTCTTTTTTGAGTTTTGTCTGGAGAATTCCCTATGTTATATGGCTATTGATATTTTCTTGATGAATGTGATAATAGCGTCAACCTTTTATTATAATATAATTAATTTTATATACATATTATGAGGTTAATATAGGTTATCCACATCTTGATTTATGTCAATGAGAATTTACCACTTGATGCAAACAAGAATAGGTACAATTATTCATTATTAGCAGTATGATTATTGACCTCTTGATTTGTTCATTGAAGTGATTGACAAATATTATTGTTTAATTTTAATGATTACTACTTTAACTAGTTTCCCATTGAAAATAGAATATGTATTAATTGTAGTATTTATCCGGTCAATTCATCTAAAAGCAAAAACGTATTTGAATATTTATCTTAGGCAGTAGTAGCTGCTGCACTTTCACTAACATGAGCAACGTGTTCTAAAAGATCCACAACTCTTGAACTATAACCATATTCGTTATCATACCAAGCCAATAATTTGAAGAAATTTGAATTCAGTTCCAAACCAGCTTTAGCATCAAATATGGAGGATCTTGAGTCAGAAGTGAAATCTGAAGAGACAACAAAATCATCAGTATAACCTAATATACCTTTTAGTTCATTTTGTGAATAATGTTTAATAGTTTTCTTAATTTCTTCATAAGAAGTTGATTTTGTTAAACGAACAGTCAAATCCACAATGGAAATGTTTATAGTTGGAACACGTAATGAAATCCCAGTGATTTTACCCTTTAGTTCAGGTATCACAGCAGCAACAGCTTTTGCAGCACCAGTTGATGATGGGATGATATTACCAGGAGCTGAACGACCACCTCTCCAATCTTTTCTGGAAGTACCATCAACTAATTTTTGAGAAGCAGTAGCTGAATGGACAGTTGTCATTAAGGCATCAGCTATACCAAAATTATCATTGATGACTTTAACTAAAGGAGCCAAACAATTAGTTGTACATGAAGCATTTGAAACTATATTTAAATCTGGAGTATAGTTTTTTTCATTAACACCAACAACAAACATTGGGGCAGTTTTAGAAGGAGCAGTAATGATAACTTTTTTAGCACCAGCAATGATGTGCTTTTTAGCAGAATCTAATTCTTTGAAAACACCAGTTGATTCAATAACGTAATCAACTTTTAATTCTTCCCATGGGATATTTATTGGATCAGTTTCTCTAAATAATTTGATTTGATGATCATCAATTATTAAATGGTCTTCATCGAATTCCACTTCACCAGCATATTTACCATGAGTAGAATCATATTTGAAGAGGTAAGCAGCATATTCAGCATCAGTGGATGGGTTATTTATTGCAACAATGTTGATGTCTTGTCTTTTGAGGATGTTTCTAAGGACTAGTCTTCCAATACGGCCGAAACCATTGATACCAACAGAGATTGTCATGATTGTGGTTGGCTAGTAATACATCTTTCCTTGATTATTGAATAGGGATCCATGAGGTATTTATATAGTAGCATTCCACGTTATTCAAGTGTATTTGGCCCGGGGAATCAAGTGCCCCAGACTTTTGCGAAACGGTAGTCATCTTACGTAATCGTGGAGGAATTCGGATGAATCATTGGCAGTAGGAATCCGAATAAAGGATTTTAGATTGAATTGAATTAATTGAGTTAAGAATTAAATAGGAAGCGACAAGAGAGTTTAATAGATGGTGTAATAGAGTTTACTAAGGTAAAGCGTGGGTGGTTGTGGTGGTAATGGCTTGTTCTTAGTCTTCACCTCCAGCAACTGCTACTACATCCGGGGTCAACAGCATCTTCAACTGCCACGTCAACTGCAGCAACTGCACGGCCCAATGAAATGATCAAGATATACACATTTAGCTGGAGTTAAGAACCTATACAACTCTGGATTCACCGTCTTTACCCATGATCAACTCATCGTAGATATTCTTTAGATTGAATATAGCCGTATTATCGAAAACATCCTCTGTGGAGCTCCCTATATGTGGTGTCAATGAAACATCACTTCTATTCAACAATCTAGGATTGATATTGGGTTCTCCAGTGAACACATCCATACCAATGAATCCTAATTCTCCCTTCTCTAATTTACTAATCATATACTCTTCATCAATGATAAACCCTCTACCAACATTAATTATTTTACCATTGGATTGAATCAAATCTAATCTTTCACGATTCAATAAATTCATTGTTGATTTATTACCAGGACAACATATAACAATAACTTCACAATTTTGCAACAATTCATCTAATTCTAAATACTCAACTTTATACCCCAATATCAATTCTTCTAATTTATCTAAAGGTTGTCTCTTGTGATAGTAAACATTCATACCTAAGGCATCACATCTTTTACCAATCTTTTGTCCAATTTTACCAAACCCAATCAATCCAATTTTGGAACCTCTAGGACCTTTAACTTTCAACCCACCACATATATGACCAAAAGGATAAGTTTCCCTTTCCCATTCATCTTGATCAACTCCCAATCCCCCCTTTTCTGTATCATATCCATGAGTTTGTAATGAACCTCTTGTCTTTACAGTATCACCCTTATCATTAGTTATCCTTTGGAAAGTACTAAACTTCCTAAACGATTCCAAAACATGCCATAACACTAAATCTGCAACATGATCTGCTCCTAATGAAGGTGTATTGTAGAAATAGATCCCCTTGGTTTTCAAAGATTCAACATCATATGGATCATAACCTACTGAACAACATGTAATGACTTTCAATGTCTGTGGTAATAATTGGATCAAATCATCAGTTAACCCTCCAATTGGCATGAATCCTGCCCATCCACAATATATCGCTGAGATTGATTGGAATCTTGTAGTTAATGAATGGATGAAATCTTGCTTTGTTGTGAGTTTGTAATGCTAAACATTGTTAGTCTTATACGTAGGGGTGATTTGGTTCAACGACATACAATTATTTCGAATTTCTGTTTGAATGCTTGGAATTCATCAAGTGATTCATTTAGGTCTCCTATGAATAATACCTGTGGTTTGGACATTTTGATTAAAGCTTATGAATGAGTATAGCATTGTTTGAGGTGTTCAATGTTGAAGTAATTCTCGAGGAATAGTTCCAAAAGTGGGATGGGGCAACAATGTAAGAATTATGGGTCTTTGAATTGATTCTACAATCTTTAAATTCTCTGTCTTTTTTTAACTTATTTTCTTTTACTGGTTATGTATAAATATATTAAACAAAAAAAGATAATTGTAACTCTCTTTGCTTCATAAATGACTTTTCTTAAATTTTTTTTCTCTTTCCAATGGGGTTGAAAGTCAAGAATAATAATGAAAAACAAACACACACAGATACTTTTAATATTTGATTCTGCTGTGATGATAATAATAATGATAATAATAAAATAATGAGTAAAAAAAAGAGTTACTAAATGTTGTCAAATCTTGACAATAATAAAATTTGTTTGTTGTATTTTAATTTTTTTGAATGTTGATAATTAATATTTCATGACATCATATTTTCCATACTGTTTATGAATGGTTTTTATTGAATTTAATGATGATGATCATCTTGAGGAACACCAACTGGTTTTAATTTATAAACTGAACCACATTCCCAACATCTTGCAACTTGATCCACTGTTGGTTTCAACCATTCAATAATATGGGAATCAGCTGGGGAACCAGTACAACCAACATAACGGTAATCATCATAACTTTCAACAACAATTGGATCAGCCATAGTACCTTTTCTTGAACTGTCTAAAGGTTTAGTATCGAAAATTTCAATACCTTCTAATTTACCCAATAATTCCAATCTTGCTAAACCGGTTTCTTGTTCTAAATCAGTTGGCATGGTACCTTCTTTAGCACCTGGACCAATCAAGGATTCGGCACCATTAACTTCAGATAAGTTTTGAGCAATTTTAACAGGTTTACTTGTATTTAAAGCAAAACGAGTTGTGGAAAATGAACGGATTGGTAATCTTGTGATTAGACGTTGACGTGTGATGGCTGATAACATTACTGAAAGAATCGTTAGTATTCAATTAACTTGACAATTTCATAAGGGAATAATAATTGAATTGATAAATTGATGTCTCTTTAAACTTATAGATAACATGAGATCTTGAAATCATAACTTGTCATCATCACTACTTTAATTTTTCTTGTTTCCTCACAATCCATTCCTTTCTATTCCCTCCTGAGTTATCCCCATTATACCTACTGAATATGGAATGACCCTTCAAACAATGGGATATGTGTTATGTTAGATGGTTGTGTTGAGATTGATGCTGTTCTCTTTCGATTTTAATGTTGTACGATTTCAAAAAAAAAACTTCGTTATAAGAATCGACTCTAATTGGATACGACTAGACTGCCCAAAGCGGCAATGAACGTGTCAATGAGATGGTCTTGTAATACCCCGTTCGAACCTGAGGGAGTTGAAATATTAATCTTTACATCCCAACATCACCTGCCCTAAAGCACTCACGTGACTCTACATTCTGTGACTGCCAATACAAAAACATATAGCACTATGTGTCCCGCAACACAAAACATTCCTCAAGAAACAACCAAACAACATTTGATTTATTTCACATACAACGACAAAGCCATTGCAAAACACGAAATTTACCCTCCCCGTTGCTCTCTGAGTAGTGCTCCTAAGCGATTTCTATTCACTGTGTGTTTCGCACTAGCTACGCCCAAATAAAAAAAACATTTTTCACTTCTTTTAATCAAAGACAAAACACATACTTAGTATCCACAGATAATTATAGTTCAAAGTAGGTACCATAAAGGAGAACATCAAAGGGGTATTATCAGAATAAAGATCTGGAAAGAGAGAAAAGAAGTTACAAGAAAGATTCATGGGAATTTAAAGAGTAGAGCACTGTTACAAATCATTATTATATCAATTCATCAAAATATTCAAACAACAAGATATAATACCCTTTTCTATAAACCCAAAAGATTACAATACTAACAATTATAAAGATGCCAAAAAAGAGAGCTTCCAACGGTAGAAACAAGAAAGGTAGAGGTCACGTTAAACCAGTCAGATGTGTCAACTGTGCTAAATGTGTTCCAAAAGATAAAGCCATCAAAAGAGTCACCATCAGAAACATTGTTGAAGCTGCTGCTGTTAGAGATTTAAGTGAAGCTTCTGTCTACTCTGAATACGCTTTACCAAAATTATATAACAAATTACACTACTGTGTCTCTTGTGCTATCCATGCTAGAATTGTCAGAGTTAGATCAAGAACTGATAGAAGAATCAGAGCTCCACCATCAAGACAAAGATTCAACAACCAAAACAGAGTTTCTCCAGCTGATGCTGCTAAAAAAGCTTTATAAATAAATTTAGCTTAAGGATAAATTTTTATAATGGTTGGTTCTATTCATGTATAACAAAATGAGAAAAATTTGAATGATTTTATTTCACACTTAATTTAAACAAGAGATGGGATTGTAGGTGTTCATTATTCTGTTGTTTTGGATAAATTGATTGTTCTACAATTTGAACTTATGAAATCAAATTGAAACTAAGCCTATAAACTATTACAACAATTGGAACCAAACTTTATTAAAATGAAACAATTCGAAATACAACACCAAATTGTAATCTTATTATCTTTTAAAACACTTTAGAAAAACCCAAATCCACCACCTCCACCGCATCTTCCTCCACATCTTCTATGACATCTACCACAACAATCATCATCAAACCCTCCTCCAAATAAACCTCCTCCTCCTCCTCCAAATGGGCCTCCCCCAAATGGTCCACCACCCATCATACCTAATCCACCACCTCCATGATGATGATGGCGTCTTCCACCACCACCTCCAAACAATAATCCTCCACCACTGGTGAATGGATCATCATAATAATCATGGCGATGCCCATAACGACCATAAGAAGGCCCACCTAATCCCATCAGGTCCAACCCACCATTATATGATCTATTACGACGTCCTAAACCTGATCCATATCCATGACGACCACCATACCCATAATCTGAATAACCATGTCTATTTGATCCACTAGATAACAAACCTGAAAGTAAGGCACCTCCGAGAGCAGCACCTCCCAATCCGGCACCCAGACCACCTAAACTTGGTGAATTTCTTCTTCTTGCTGATGCCCTTCTCTCCTCTGTCTCTGTTTCTAATCTTGATGGTCTTGAAGAACTAGCATTTGTGGATTGAGGACGATTTGAAGGTCTCGTATGTGCACTTGTTTGCTGAGCTGCTGGACGTGATGTGCTTTGTTCATAACTTGGTGGTTGAATTGCAGGTTCTGTAGGAAGTTCCCAAGTTGACTCTTTGGTCTTTTCATTAACAAAGAAGAAGCTGAATGCTTTGTTAGTATTATCTCTATCGTAGTTTGTTTTACTGCTCACGTTTCATATTCATCATCCCATACAGCTACCCATCCTGGAGGCACTTGTGGTGGAGATTCCTTTGTATATTTATTTGACATATTTGTGGATTTCCTTGGTTAATCAAGAATATTAATACAAGCTTTACATTGAAGCTTTTTCTTTGCTCTTTATACTAAATTTCAGTTGAGTCGAAATTGTGTCAAAGACAATGAAATGCTTATGCTTGCGCTTATCAAAGAAAATCAGATGTTCGCGACTTCCATAAACTACTGAAATTAATTGGATCAAATAATGAAAACTTATTATTAAAAAATGTATTAAAGCTATGATTATGAGATTATTAAAAATGCACTTCTTCTTTTGATCATCCCCCACCTATTGATCACAAATTGGCAATGGTATTGGCCATCGACTCTTCATTATCTCTAGATTCTTCATCCTCTTCAACTTCTTCCTCATCACTTTCACCACTGATCTTGACTTTACCAAGTCCTTGATCTTCATCATCACTATCACTTTCGTCATCACTATCACCTTCCTCTTCATCATTACTATCAGCATGATCACTGACTTTATCCAATTCATAAAACAACATGAAAACACCAGGTGCTGATAAAACTTCATCTTCATCAACAATGTCAATTGTTTCATCACTAGTTCTCCACCAAACTCCTCTATATTTTCTGAATGCAATGTAATGACCGTAATTATGTGTACCATAGTGAACAATAACTGAACGTAATGCATAAACTAATGGTCCTGAAATGTCTTGTTTTTCAATTGAAAGGGGAATTTCTTGTTCATCAGAGTCAGAATCAGAATCTTGTTCCAATTTCTCTTCACCCTCCTCCTTTTCATTATTTGAACTATCTGGAGTTTCTAATGATGATGTAGATGATGATTCTGATTGAACAATAGGTTCTTGAACTTTTACCTTCTTTGACAATGGTAATCTAGCATCTGTATTAATATCATTTGGTTCTGCAACAAATGGATCCAAATCAAGTTTCAATGGGAAAACAACTCTTGCATTGTTTTTACGAACTCTATAAGTCATTGGATCAAACACCGATCTATTAATATGAATGGCTAATAATGGTGGTGGACGACTTATTAAAATTTGTTTAGATTTTGAACATTTCTTCATCATGTTCTTTGTATGTAATTTTTTGAAAATTTCATCATCAATTATTGGTTTTTCTAATTCTCTTTCAATTTCACCAACTCTTAATTTCAATAATTCAATTAATTTCTCAGTTGAGGAAGTTTGTTCTTTAGCTTCTAATGTTGATAATTGATCCTGTTGATATTGTAAAACTGAATTCAATGCACATCTATTACAATCAACACCTTCAATGATTTCAGGTTCAATCCATTTTGTTAACAAATCTGTCAATTTCAAAGCATTATAATTATCAGGTGGCAAGTTTAAACTTAACCCACTAATAACACTATAACGGATACCACCCATTTCACCACATTGTAAACAACCAATTCTTTCAGCACTTAACCCATCCACTGGTGTTAATAGATTGAATCTTGTTGACTTTAACTGCGAGTCTTGTAAATTAGGATCTATTTGTGATGATGGAATGTAAACTGGTCCAATATATCCAAGATTATCAATACCATGAGTGGTATCTGATGGTAATGATGATGTTAAAACCGGTTCTGTCTTGTTTGTTGTTGTGTTTGAAGAGTGGATTTTTTTGAAATCTGATTCTAATTCACTCAATATAGACTGGAAGAACTCTTGAGCATCTTCTTGATTATAACCCATCAAGAAATTTTTATTTGGAGTCTTGGTCATTGTTTTCAACATTGGATTTGTTTTGTAATCATGATTCTTGTTGAAATGTTTGTTGTTTAAATTTTCTAATAAAGTCTTGAAAGATTTTGTAAATTTTAAATCTTTTTCTTTAATATCTCCTTCAATTGTTTCATCATTTAGAAAACTTATTAATGAATTTGATGATGCTAAACTTTGTAAAACACTATTCATAAAACAAGTATTACCATCATTTATTAACCCACCAATGTTACCACCTTTCTTCATTAGCTTCTTCTGTTGCTTGGTGTTTTGGTTTGAACCATATCTGAATCTTCTTCTATTCAAAAAATTTGAAGATGAACTATTGCCGTTGAAATAATTATTCATGATATCGCTTATGAAATTTGGTTTAAATATTAATAAAGTAGTTGGTATACTTAATGCAATGAATGTGAATAAAAGATTCTTCCAATTTTTAGTCGAAATGTTCAAAAGTTTGGTTAAATATTGATTATTTGAATTTTCCAATTGATAATTGTATGAATTAAAATAATGAGTATTATCTGATGCAGAAATTGAGATGAAAAACAATGAAAAAACGAACAGCAATGAATGATTTATTGAATGAAGTAACATAAAGAGCCACAATTCAATCAAATAAGAAGATGATCTGATCTAAAAAGATCTTTTGAAATGGAATATTGGAATGTGTTCTTGAGATCGGACTTGAATAAACCAGGTAAGAAGGAGAAAGCAAAAGATCTTGTTCTTATACCAGGCAATAACCAAAGCTCAAATAACAGTAGGCAACAAAAAAAAGCACTCGTTCCAAACAGAAATTTATCGTTTTTGTTGACGTTTAAAGTAATTAATGTTTGATTATTTATCTGTTGAATATTTTTTTCGATGGCTTACAGAAAATCGGTAAACGCACTATAATCAAATCACGTGATGATTTTTAATTATAAACTACACCAAAAAATCAAGTTCAAAACTTTTCATAGATTCTATTGTCAATTTGAGCTTAATTTCCATCACTCAGTTTGTAATAGCACACCCTATATATCCAAAAGAAAATATGAATCAAAAGATACAGTTAAAGCACAATAATATACGTTGAAAAATCATCATCACCAGAGTCCAATTAAAATTGTAGCAGCAACAAGTAAATAAAAAGATAACAGAAAAGGGCACAATCAAATATTAATATTAAATAAAAAAAAAGCTATGGTGAGATCAAGTATTAAAAACCAAAACAACACACACAAAAACACAAGTACAGCAACAATAACAAAATCACGAGTAACGAAAACAATCTATATCTTTCTTCTTCATTTTTTATACCATTTTTTTCTAACGACCTTGATACATAACATGACCATAGTTTTGGTACTGTATGTTGTTATTTTGTGAACGATCTCTACCCCAACCACATTTTAATGGACGACCATTAACAATGAACCCAGTCAATTGAACAATAGCTAAAGCAGCTCTTTCATGACTATCATATTTAGCAAATGCGCAATTCTTTTCTGGATAGATTTTCAAATCAACGATATAACCGAAATTTTGTAATAATGGGATCAATTCATTTTGAGTAGTGTAAGGAGCTAAATTTCCTAAATAGACAGTTGTTTGCCATGATGGAGCTTTTCTTAAAATTAAGTCATAAGATTGAGGTGATAACATGTTCAAACCTGTTGTACCATTGATAGCACCTGCACCATTTAATGGTAATCCGTTAGCACCAATTGGAGCTCCAGTGGCAGCAGCAACACTAACAGCTGGATTAGCACCCAATTGAGCAGCACCGTTAATCAAATTACTTGTAGCAAAACCATTAGTTGGTAACCCATTATGATTTAACCCATTCAAATGATTATGATGGTGATGATGATGGTGATGACGACCATTATAACCATTACCACGAGGACCATTAAATCCAGATTGGGAATGATTATTGTTATTTTGTTTATGAGAAGCCCAATTCAAACGAACAGCTCTGTTACCAATCAATTCACCATTCATTGTAATTAAAACTTGTTCAGCATCTTTTTGATCAGAAAATGAAACAAAACCATAACCTCTTGATCTACCACTTTGCATATCCCACATAACATGAGCTTGAACGATTGATGGGAATTTTGAAAATGCCTTTTTTAATTGATCATCATCAATTTCAGTGGATAAATCACCAACGAAAATGTTGAAATGTTCTGGGTTGCTCTTGGCTTGTTGGGATTGATAAGCCCAATTGATTCTAATTTCTGAAGTTCCTATAACTTGACCATTTAATGAATCGAATGCAACTTGAGCAGCTTTTTCATCTTCAAATTCAACAAAAGCATAGTTCAAATTTTGTTTGTTCTTATCAAATAAAACTTTAACAGATTCAACTGCTCCGTGAGCAGAAAAGATGTCACGTAAATCATCTTCAGTGATATTCTTATCTAAACCTCCAACATAAAGGATTTTACGAGAAACTTCACGACCACCTTCAGCAGCTAAAGCTGGAGCAGCTTCTGGTTCTGTTGGTTGTTGTTGCTGTTCTTGTTGTTGGTCCTGAGATTGTTCTGGTTGTGGTTGTTCTTGGTTTTGAGAAGTTTCTTGTTGTTGTTCTGATTGTTGATGTTTTTCTTCAGTTTTTAAATTAGATTCTTCAACAGCTGGAGCTGGAGCAACAGGTTCTTGTTGTTGTTGTTGTTCTTCTGAAGTCATTTTTCAAAATAATTGAGATTAAAATTAAATAAAAGTAAACGAATTGAAACGAAAACCTGTCTTGATAATAATTAATTGATTAAAAAAGGGGATATTAAAAGCACTCCAGTATGATATAAATGAGCACAAAGTTGAAGCGAATGAGTTGATATGAAATTGGATAAAACAATTAAGGGAAAATAACACACCAAACACTATAAGTTAATCAATATTGTATAGCTGATATTGTTTTCTTGAATTGAAATGAAGAAAAAACACACAATTGTCTAGTTATAAAGAGATGTTTAAAAAAAGCAGCTTATAGATGAAATGAGCGACTTGATCTTTTGTCCGTTTCCAAAATAATTTAGAGATATTTATTGGTTTCTTGATGAGTTTAAAACACGAGAAGTTTTTGTGAACCCTTAATCAACTATTGGAATTTGGAAGTTTTTCAAAAGAACGTGGGAAAAATAAGCTTTTGTAAAAGTGAGTACAAAAATAGTGTGATATAAAATTTGGTGACTGAGTAGCAGCAAACACAGGGAAAGACTGGTTGGATTATTGATAAAGAATTAGCTGATGAAATGTTGTTGTTGTTGTTGATAAATTGTCAGTTTTTTTCGTGGGAATGTTTTTCCCTCGACGAAAACGGAAAAAATTATCTTGACTTCCCAATCGGGTAATAAACGAGATACTACGTGTAATAGATTTTGCAATATTGTATTAAATTCACATTTCACCACAATTTGTAATTTTAACAGGGACTTTTGGCCTGTCGTTTTCCTCGACACTGACTCTTTCAATCTGATTGACTATATCGTGTCCTTCAATCACAGTCCCAAATACAACATGTTTCCCGTCTAAATGCGGTTGGCTGTCCAGTGTTATAAAGAATTGACATCCATTTGTGTTTGGTCCTGAATTGGCCATGCTGAGACTGTATTTCTCATGGTTGTGGTAGAACCCTTCATCTTCAAATTGCTTTGAACCATAAATTGAATATGACCCGAGACCATTATGACTTATGAAATCACCACCTTGTATCATGAATCCTTTGATCTGGCAAGAGGTTAGTGGTGGGTTATCAGAAAATACGCTCTTTATACTCACCACTCTGTGGAATGTACTGTTTTTGTATCCAATTGGCTTGTTCTGAGCTGACCTATGCTCTCCAGTGCAAAACTGTCTAAAGTTTTCACATGTTCTACCAAATTGTTAGTATCTTCAAGCTAGACAAATGCAGTAACAACACTCACTTGGGTAGCCTATCAGCATAAAGCAAGAACTTCACTCTTCCCAATGGTTTAGCTATTCATATTAGTAACTGATTCTGACTTGGTTCAAAAGATCACTCACGTCCTAATGATATCTAGAATTGTCAGTATTAGTCCTAGAGACTCGTAACGAAAACGACAATACACACATCAAAGAACACTATTGGATTCTCTTTCCCTTGAACAACCACTTCACTCATCTTTGACTGGCTATGACTTTATCAATGCTTTTTCTGTTTTGAAATTCTGTTTGTTTTGATTTTTTCTTTGACAGATGAAAAAGACAGAAAAACAGAAAACTTCATCACAACTCAACTATAAAACCACATCAATTCCAACCAAAACATGAATTCACAATCTTTTCAAGATGATAGAGACTAAACTAATCAATTTCCATTAACTCAGAATGCTCAAGAACCCACTATTCAACCGTGAAGAGTTTTACAACAGGTGCAAACGTGCTTTACATAAAGATCTATTACACATCAACTTTGGGAATGATTATTTTGGACTTCATGATAACTCCTTATTATCTCATACAGATAACTATGATATCCATAATGCAAAAGTGTTGCCAAAAGTGTTGCAAAACTTTGTTAACAAGAAAACATGGGCAAAATTCTTACTATCAATGCCCGAAACTGGGCTAATTTACTATCCAAATTGTACTCCAAGTAAACCACCAAGACTTGAATTGGAAGATGTCATGAATCCAATACATGATCGTTTCAGAAACGTTCAAATTCATGAATTCAAAGAATTGGATGATGATTATTTTGAATATGGATTATCTAAATTATTAGAAATGATTGAAGCTGGTGATAAAGTTTCTGGTGATAATTATGGAGATTTTTTCAATATTGAGAGTGATGAACCTTTGATAATTGATCAAGTTGGACATACAACTATAAATGAATATTGTATTAAAGTGATAAATCAAACTTTAAAATTTTTAGACCATACAATTGGTTCTGCGGGTTTTCAACAAATTGAAAATTTTCATTCAGATGATGCTGAATATAGTGGAACAATTCAAAAGATCTTGTGGAATGATTATTTTACATACAAAGTTCCTGAACATGTACATATTGCTGAAAATGGCTCTGATTCTATACTTCTCAACGTTGCTAGATTTGGATTACAAGATGTTTTTAATGAGATCCTAAACAGTGAATCATTTTGTTCCCAGTCTCAAGAATTTGAAACTTTGATGAAAGAGGTTGTTTGTTATATGATTACTGCTCAAACCACAAGATGTATCTTGACTGATTATGTCACTTCGATCTACATTGAAATAGGCGTTGTTGATGGTGAATGTTGTCCTAATAATGATCATGCCTTTATTGATTTAATCAGATACAAAGTTGTTAACAGTACTTCAAGCGGTTTAACGTTACGTTCATTACTTGCCTGGTACTTCTTCACCGCTGGCTACCAAACTGTCAATAATCACAGAGATGCTGAGCTCAGAATTTTGGATAACCTTGCAAATAGATTCTTGATGAAACCATCAAACTATACAGTTCAGTATAATAAGAAGCTTGAAACTCTTTTCCAATTCACTCCAAGCTTGAGAAAGCATTTCAAAGGTAAGAGACAGAGGATAATGGCCGACCTTGCATCTTTTGAAAAGATAAATAATGGGCCAGATTGTCTTTTTGAATCTTTTAAAGTACCAACTTCGATCTTCAACTTAAAGGTTGATCCAGTATCAATAAAGACCCCCTTTGTTTTAGTCAAGATCTTCAACCCATTATACTTGAAGGGTAAATTGGTCCATGGTGATAGTCACTCTAGAAAAATAGCAGCAGAGCAGCTTTTCTTAGATGAAGTTGTTGCAGCTAGTGCTATCTCCAAACACAAGAAAGCTGCTAAGTCAAGGAACAGTTATGAAACAACCATTAGCTCAAATCCTATTCTTAGTTGTGGGTATCTCTGCCTCACAGGTTCATACAATCGTATTCAACATTTTGGATTATTTTTGGCTACTCAATATGATGAAGATGCCACTGTTGCAACTTCAAGGAAGGATATTCTCAAAGGATTGAAGCAATTGAAAGTCTTTTATTCAAAATTGAAACGAGGTGCTAAAGGTGATTCAAAAGTTCAACCTAGGATTATGATTAATGCGAAGGGTGAAGTTCTCCTAAGTGATTTCCAAAGAGAATGGGAAAGAACAATAAATCTTGAACAGTCATCTTCAATAATTGGTGAGCAAGAGCCTAATCGAGCAACATTGGTGAAAATGATGGAGAATTTCCAACCATATTCTTAGTGATTTTTAGATTTGTTTAATGACGTTGTGTAGATGATATATTGTGGTATGAAATACTCATTTGTACTTGATCTACAGATGGCATAATTGTAGTTAAAAAAACATTTTATTAGTCATTTTCCCCAAAAGAATCAATATATTTTCAATTGAATATCAAATGGGATTAACCAACTGTAGCCAACATATCATAGCGACATTCAGCTTTATCAATTATCAGTGATGATTAGCTCACAGCTTATCATAATCACATTCTGCTTACCAATTATTAGTAATTTCAATGTAAAACTTAATCCCAAAATGGATTTCCTGAAGGAGTCTTAATACTAACATAATTTGAATGAAACATTAATTATTGAATGGTGAGAAAGTCCTTTATCCTAGCTTAGAATAAAATCTAGCTAAATATTCCTAAAATCAGAGAAATACTATGCGACAAGAAATCCCTTAGTCAAAACGGAAATCAATCATAAATAGTGATAATAAGCGGTGCATCAATTGTAACTCAATCACATCTAAATATTAGAAGATTGAATACTGAAGTTGAAAGCTCGAAGAAAGCCAGTTAATTTTGTTTTTCAACCCTTAATTGGTTATGGGCGATGGTCGCGATGGCTTTTTCTTACTGGACAGAATTATAGAGTTCAAAGATCAAAAGATTTGGGAAACGCATTTGTAGCAATTAGTTCAAGGATGTCTTTGGATCTTAAAGATGACGATAACGTGTGTATTTAGCTCTATTGGTATAGTATCATTTCCTTTGCTAACATCTTTCCCAGGTCATCAACAGGATCACTAATGGGTTCAAACCAAAGGATCAAGAACTTTCACAATTGGATAAACTAGAAATAGAGAAACACCAAATCATACAGAAACAAGGGAAGCTATTCCTCGAAGAATTGTTCAGAAACAATAGCACCAGACCCATCCACGTGTCCAAAGTGCAAATCGAAGGCACAGAACAGTTTAGAGACTCTTTTTTAACTGCCCAAATATTACCATTCATTAATGATTCACAAAATTTAACAAAATTATTAACCAATGTGGATAAAGTTAGTTCAAATTTCTTCAAGACTTCCACTATAGATAACTTTGCCATAAACTTAACCACACCACCTTATCGTTCCTCGTCACATATTCCTGAAAATGCTATAGAAATCATACCACATATCAAATTATTCCCAGTAAAGAAATTCATGGCCAAGACTGGTACAAATATAGGAAATGGTGAAGGTGATGGATACATGACTTTCCAATTCAAAAATATATTTGGAGGTGGTGAAAATGTGATATTTGATGCTACAACGGGGACAAGAACAAGATCATCATATCTATTGAATTATTCCTCACCTTTTTTCAATAATGCAAATTGGAAAAGTGATAACTCTTTATTCATAACAAGTCGTAAAATAGATTGGTCCTCGCATGAACAGTTGATTAAAGGGTTGAATAATAAATTGGTTTCTATAAATTTGGGTAATGAAAGTCAAATAAACCACGAGTTTTCAGTGGAGAATATCCTAAGAAGTATAACTAATGTTTCTCCATTGGCTTCAAATAATGTTTTATACCATGCTGGTGATGATTTTAAAACAAGTTTGATCTATAAATTTGGGTTCGATTCAAGAAATGATAGAACTTTACCTACAAGAGGTGCTTATTTTTCATTGATTAATGAAATTTCAGGTATTTTCCCTAAATTCAACACTAGTAAATTTTTAAAACAATCTTTTGAATCAGCATATGCAACAAATTTTAATGATGGTGATCAAATCTTGAACATATCATTCAGAGGTGGTTGGTTATACAGTTTCAAAAACACAACACACCTAATGGATAGATTTTATCTTGGTGGTCCAAATGATGTTCGTGGGTTTTTCTTCAATGGATTAGGTCCAAGAAATTTTAATGACACTTTAGGTGGTGATGTTTTCCTAAGTGGTGGTATCAGTTTATTCAATAGGATCCCATTTGTCAGTAAAGAATCAAATTTCAAACTGCATTCATTTGTAAATTTTGGAAGATTAATACCTTTGGATAAGAATGAACATATAAGTCATACTGTTAAGGAATTATTATCAGAACCTTCAATCGGTGCAGGTTTTGGTTTAGTTTTCAAACATCCAGTTGCAAGATTTGAATTAAACTTTGTGTTGCCTGTTACTGCTCATGAAAATGATTCTTCAAGAAAAGGATTACAATATGGTATAGGGTTGACATTCATGTAATTTAGCAATGTAAATAAACATATATATATAGGGACTGATTTCTTTTTAATGAATTGCGATCCATTCTTGATGCTCTTTGATAACTGCTGGAATGATTAAACTTTCGATATCGACACCTTTGGCAACATCTTCATCTGATAATCTATACCATACTGGATCATTTTGATAATTCTTGGATACAAACACAACTTCCTTCTTTCTAGTTTGTAATAGATTACCAATGACTAGCTGATGATTATAACGATCCAATGCTTGATTAGCCTTTTTAATCAATATTGATTTATCAGTTTCTAATTTAAAACTTGTAATCATAGCACCTGGGGCCCATGAATCAACTAATCTTCTAAGGAATTTAGGCACAGGATCTAAATTAACCACTAATTTCCCTCCATTATGATCTTGTGCTTGGATTTTATGCTCTGGTAATTTGGAATGTGGTAGAAAGAAATCAGAAACTGCTGCTGCAAGATAAAATAAAGCTCGTGTACCAACTTTATCCAATATTTTGGAAATTTCCTTCAATGAAAATAAATATTGTGTAACGGTAGTGAATGGTAATAATAACAACAAGTTTTGATCTCTTGCATCATTATATTTTTTCCAAACTTTATGCATCTGTTCACTATATTTTGGATTGATTTCTAATTTCCCATCAATCTCTGTCATATAATCCAAGAAGCAGTTTGTTGTATGGCTATAATGTCTAGAATATGGTAATAATGAAAACTCTCTATGTAAGAATATCACAGCATATCCATTCTCTAGGAAATACTCGGCACTTGTAGCACCTCTTGTACCAGCACTAAAATTATCAATAAATCTAACAGTATTGTTTTCTAATGGGACAGTGGTACCACCAGATGTGACTAAGACAACTTTACGTCCTGTTTTTTCATGGATCTGAACAAACTGTTCAGCTTCAGCACATAAATCTTTTAAATATGGGGGTGGTATATTAGTCTTGAAATAATTGTCTTCATCTAATGATTCAGCAACTGGGAAATCTGGTACAGTTCTGTCAATGGCTGTTTCTGTGTCTGGTGCCGAGGTACGGATATTCTGTGGCATTATGGGAGGGTTGGTATTGTGGTTAGTTCCTGGATTGAAGATGCAAGGTTCCAATGTCCAGTTCCTGAATGATTACTATAATCTTCGTTTATTTGAATCAACGTTAATCTGCGAATTTCTCCAGACAATAGAACGAGTTCGCGAAAGTGATTGTTTTTACCCGGATACACTGACACATACAAAATTCAGTTATTACACAATCAATTTAACAGGGTTTTATTATATAGAAAAACCTCTAATTGGTATTATTATATTGCATCCTTAATAATTAATAATTGTTTAATATATTTAATTAATAATAATTTGTAAATATTAATTATTTAATATTAATATTAGCGCTCGCTAGCTGCTAGCTGTACGACGTCGTCGACGTCGAACGTTATTATAAGTTAAGCAGCTGATAAATTACTAATTATATATAAATATAATTAATGTATAATATTAATTATGCAAAGCAGCCAATTAAACTCATGATGCTGTTTAAACAATATATATATATTAATATCATATAATATTAATATGCAGATGAGCCGGCCTACGTATAATAATATCAATATTAATGAATATCAGTAAAACATTTCATTAAAGATAAGTAATAATACAATGCTGATTGAGCAATCCCAATCATGAAGCATGTTTCTATAAAGATATCATAAATAACATCGTAAAACATAAAAAAGTGAACGGGTATAATAAAAAGGTAAATAGAAACAAACAGAGAAAGAAGAAAAAATAAAAACAAAACAATTCTCAATAAATATAACGAAAGAATATAGTAGAGTGTCATTCCAGATCACTTCCTTGATCACTTATCCCACTATGGTTTGGTGAATTCCCATACAGTAAAGAGGGAAATTGTTGATACAAACCTTCAGGAAATTGATTATCATTTGCAGAATCGCCATTAACCTCCAATTTCGGCACGATTAAACTATCACCTTTACCTCTCTTGGTCTTTTCACGTTCATGCTCTTCAACTAAAGGTCTAATACATTCTTTACCAGCTTCTGTCTTAAAATGTCGACCTAACGCATCAGTTCTTGCAAATTTCTTACCACACCCCCATTGTGTAACTCCATCAGCTAAAACACCACGACATTCATAACGTTTTTTACCACTGTGTAAATCTTCATGACGTTTTCTATCATGTTGTCTTGCAAACGCCTTACCACAAACAGTACAAACAAATGGTCTTTCATCAGTATGTGTACGAAGATGTGATTTCAAATTATATGGTCTTGTAAATCTTTTTTCACATAAATGACATGCATAAATTGATGGATGTTTTTGAACTCTTCTATTTGATTGATTTGGTGAAGCTAATTCCAACATTTTTTCACGATTTTGAGATAATGACCTACTACGATCTTGTCCTGATGTGGAATTTGAACGAGATCTTGATTGGCGACGTTGACGCCCTTGTCTCATATTCGAATGCTGTTGATCTTCAACTTTCAATAAATCTGAAGGTGATCCATCGTTTGGTGATAATAGATTAGCATAATGACCAGCTTTAATGTTTTGAGAAGAATTAGAACCGGCTCTTGAATGATTTGGTGAGTTATTTGGAGATGATCTATTTGAACTGAATAATGATGGTGTTTTCTTGGAGATTTCTTCAGGTGCAGCTTCAATTGAAATAGTTATTGGTGATTGATGACTCATCAATGTATTGTTGGTTTGTAAATTTTCCTCTGTTAATCTATTCAACTGATTGCTTAAAAGATCAATCTCACTGGTACTTGCATCATTAAATTCATTTGCATTTAAATTCATGTTGTTTACACCACCATCCAAAAATCCAGCAGTTTGTGATAATACGTCATCATCAAAATGAGATGGAGAATAAGCAGACAGGTATGGTGAGCCACCAGCAGAAGATAAATCGCTTAAGGCTGAATTTGATGGAGATGGACGTAATCCTTGGAAAGCTGCTCCCCCATTATCTGGAACCAATAAATTGGAACTTTCAGTAGATTGTTGATGTTGTAAAAACTGTGTTGGGTTCTGTTCAAAATTTGTACTCGACGAGCTACCACCATAATGCATCTGTGGCTGTTGCTGTTGATAATTATTACTCAGACTTCCCTGATTGAACTCTTCTTGTGGGGGTGTAGATATTATCATTGGTGGAGGTGAAGTGTATGATTGGTTTGATTGAGATTGTGACCCATTTGAGCTAACTTGTTGTAGAGTTGGCGTGTGAAGTTGAACAGGACTATTATTACCATTGATGCCAGCATTTAAATCTTGGAAATCAGATGAGACATATCGTAATGAATGGTTAACTGATAAGACATTTGATGGTGAATTTAGTGTGTTGAGTTCATCCAAAAACAACGAAACATCATCATGTTGGGTATTTAATGTTAAGTCTGTTTGAGATGAGGCTTTTTGTAAGTTGTAATCAATCTTGAAGCCTGGAACAGGACTCTGTTGTCTTTGTTGTTGTTGTGGAACTTGAGTTTGAGCCTGTTGAGGGTTCTCAAAGCCCTGAAGGCCCTGTCCATACAACTTTTGGTTAATATTTGGGTATGTATTTTGAACATTACTTGGTAGATACTGAGACAACCCTGGAGAATTCATGTTAGATTCTGGTGACAAGTTCACAAACTGGTCAAAGTTCTCATTATTACCATTATTGTTGTTGTTATTGTTATTCTCATTGGTGTACGGAAAATCATCCGCCATGTTTTCGGTCTTTATATTGAACTTGGACATTTTGAGCTAAAATGGTAGCAGATACTCTTGTGCTAATTATTTCCTATAACTATCTCTGTGTATATCTTATGGATATTCTTTTCTTTTCAGTTGAACCAGCTGACTCTTATCGAACAAAGCACCTTTTAAATTTAACACCGACAAAGCGAAACCTGACTCCGCCTAGTTGAACCGCTTTTTGATATACGTAGCCTGTTGCACTTAAACCAGCTATTTGCAAAGGTAACTTAGTTTGAATATGGATTGGATATGGATTGTTGTATGTGTAAGGAAATGTTTTATTTATACAACCCACTTTTTGTTTGGCCAAAAACGGTTTTTTTTTCTTCTGGGAAATTTTAGTTAGACTTATGGAATTATTACGTAATCAGAATACGTAATTTTAGTATCAAGAGACGGAAATGCTACAATTTGGTTTGGAATTTGGAAGGTTGAGATTTAATTTTTGATCTCTAGTTTGAAGTCTGCACAGATATGCCATATTCCAGGTGCAAAAGTCTTAATTTTCTCCAGGTGAAGTGGGATAATATTCATGTTGTGTTCGGTTTTGTCATCAAGTGCTAAATTTGTTAGTTCCACAGCTGTCAAGTTCATGAATGTGGGCAAGTTATCAACAGATTCATTCTCATGAATATGGATTGTGGTATTGGTGGTGGAGAATGTATTGACCAAAGTTAAAGTGTGCTGCCAACTTTGTCTAGAAGATGGTAATAACCCCATATTCACATGACTGATATTAAAATGTTGATTAGTTTGACACAATCTCTCATTAACAAACTCATTACTCTCATTGAAAATCCAACATTGAACACTATCATCCCATTCAATTTCTTCATTTCTTGAAACAACTTTATAACTGAAACCATTCTTTGCAACACCACGTATCAAACCTTGAATACTCCATGGGTTAATCTCAAAACAAAATACTTTGGCACCTAGTTTCAAATAACTTAATGTAAAATATCCAATTCCAGCATACATATCGACAACTGTTGTATTCTTTACATCTTTAAATGACAAAACCCTGGCTTTTTCCTTAATGTTTCCTCGACTAAACATGGTGTATCTTGGAGCCCAAGTTTGGTATATCCCATTCTGAACAACGGTACACCAAAAAGCATCTTCAAAGTCTTTCTCGGTTGGGTTATCGAACATTTCTGAGGTTGGTTCGGGGCCAAAATCTCCAAATAGTGGTGAAATATTGAATGGTCTTCTCATGACATCTTGCTCAATGATTGGTTTGTTAATTGCAATGTGCGTTATTTGTGGAAAGTTTGCAAGTAGTTGTTTATAAAATTCTTCTGAAGGGTATAATCTAAAGTGGGCTTCCCATTCTTGTGATTCAAATGTATCTTGATTGTTTATCAAAAGTAATGGTGGATATAATGTGTACTTTTTAGGTATTTTTGATAACAAAATGTTGGACTCTTGACTTGATATCTTTATTCCCTTAAGGTACTTTAAAACTGAATTTTCGATTACATTGCTTGTTTCCACATCCTTAACCACTCTTTCCACCAATTGTGGTCGTATCTTATTATTATTCCGTATCTCATTGTCTAATTGATCTAGTGATTCATACAAAGTTGGGACGATAAAGCCAGCTGCACTCTTTTGAATCTTTAGCGACTTGTCCAATTTCCCAGTCGAAGACAATAGCGTCTTAACAGACTTGACCAAGCTCCCATCATTGACAAACAAATCAACTCTACTCATCTTTTTCTTTGCAATGTACCTCAAATTCAACCCAAACTTGTCCAAATTTTTGTCACAAAATTTTCAAGCTCAGACCAAAAAAAAGTTAAAATAGCGCCTACGGGTTTAGTCGGGAATATCCCAGTTTACCCTCCAATTCGAGGATTCGCGAAATGCTCGAAAAAACAATTACAACTGATAACTTTTGTGCTTTTAGGAAGGTTTTTGCCCTTTTGCTAAAGATTGAGAGACGAGTTATCGTGGAAGTTTAACACGAGAACCAAGAGAAAGTCAAAGACATAACCTAGTCGCAATGGATCAAGTATATTTCGGTGCCCCACAGGCTGATTGTGAGTATTTCGTTTTGATTGAGGACAGAAAATTCTGTTGTTTATTGTATACAAGTTGAACTAACAAGTTATTTCTGTTTAGTAATGTCCAAGAAGGATAAAAAGAGAGCCACTGTTCAAGGAAAGCTTAATAAAATGGATGAAAACTTTAAACTTGACAAGGATTACCACTATCGCTCAATGCTACAAGATTTGCAAAGATCCTTAAGTACGATGCATCAAGGAACGAATGAAGTTCTCGTTGAGAGAATGAAGGATTTTGAAGAATCGAGAGATTATGAATTGGTTGAGTTGAGACTATGGGAAGAATATCAAGTCCAAAGAGCAGAGAAGGAGTTTTTCGAAGAAGTTGAAAAGGCAAACACTGAACATGATGAAATGGTGAAGTTGGTTAAGGAGAAATTATATGCAAATTTGGAGAAACAAATTAAACAATTAAAAGAGGATAAGATTCTACTGGACCTGGCTAATTCACACTCTTATAATATGGATACAAGTTTGACGAATGTCCATGATTTCCATAAAAACACAAGATCATCCAATTCGTTGAAAGATAGCACGATAAGTTCGATTGGTTATATGAGTGATAGAAGAGGGTTGAGAAGACGTGATATGAACTATAGTACAAATAATGATGATAGTCATCTCAGTGCAAATGATTCAGGTAATAATTCAAGCTCAAAAAAGAGAAAAACAAATGGTTCAAGTGGCCGGTACAGTTCAAATGATGAAACTTTTATGAGTGATAATGGTGATCTAAGCTCTATTTTGTTTGGTGAGAAGCCTGAAAAGGTACATACAAGACATTCTTCGAAATCATTTGTCACGCCGCCTGGGTTGAAACCAGAAGAAATTAATGATGATTTGCTACTGATGAAGAAGAAATGATAGAATGTATGATATTTTTGCTTGTTACTTAAAGACTGTGAATCAGCAGTGTAGATTTGTATGATTCCTATTCTCTTTGGTGACTCTGTGAAGTTGAAGTCCACACTTAAGCGCTTTATTGATGTGTTCAAGTTCCTCATGTTTTGTGTACTTCGAACAAAATACTCGAAAAAAACCACTGAATTTCAATCCTTTGAAGATCTAGCGTTTTAAAATCTGATCCACCAACCAAACGGAGCTCATGATTCTTTATCTTGAATGTCCAATAATGAAGCTCTTGAGTTGCTCTATCTAATGAGCCATCACTCATTGAAAACCAACAACAATCAGCCACACAATTGAGGAAACATTGTCCTGATTTCGTCCAAATTTGCTAAAACTTGTTCTTAAGTTTCAACCTCATCCAAGAGATAATTGATGAAAATAATGACTTTAGGTGAATCTATGACCCTGAGTTGATGGAAAATCCCAAACTTTTCTTCAAACTTGTCAACTTTTTACCAATTTTTCGATCAGTCTAACTCCTTGAGGTGAAATCAAAGGGTGTACCATTGTGATTTTCAAATATTTTTGAATTTCAGGAGAAAACTGAGAACGCGTACTAAATTGTAGGGAATCACCATATTGATAACACAACCAACCACCGCCTAATTAGTTTCAAAAGAACTTTGAAATTCTAGAAAGCTGAACCTTTTCATCCCTTTGTGATTTGGGATAAGATAACATAATTTTGAGCACAAAGTGACACCATTTGAACATATATCCCGTTTTGACAGTTTATCTGTAATGACTAACATCTTCATATTCGAGCCAAAATGTGAACTTCTTTCTGGAAACAAACTTCGTAAGTGCATTTCTTATGTTTCATTAATTATGAGAAGTCAATCCATGAATTATAAGAGTTACAACAAAAAACCCACATCACCCTTGAAATTTCCAGCGAAAAAGGGCACAAATATGGGCATAGAAACCTTTCTATCCATATATTTTTCCACAAAAATTATTTAATTATGTTTTCCTGTTTCCGCCAAATTCAACGGTATATCTCTTCTGATAATATCATTTCTGGTTGTTGAGCAATCCACCAAAGTATCATATCTCCCATAGTTAAGGATCTGGCTCTATAGAGAAAAATCAACTTTCAAAAAAAAAAATCGAAAAATCAAAAATTTTGAAATTTTCGAAAATGATGAATTTCTGAGCATAAGAGTGCCGACGCCGTCACTGCACAGGAAAAATTAAATGATTAATAACACATTGAATAGCTAGGTAAATAGTAAGATAAGTACATTAAATACTAAAATAGTAGAATCTAATAACTTTCAGTTTCACCTCTTATCATTTGAACTAATATTTGAGGTGCTAGCACGATGTCAAAGGACTTGTGCAGTAGTTAAGAGAACCATATTTTGGTGTTCGCGAAAATCAAGATGTTTACGTCAAAATCATCAACAAGAACAAAAACATCTTTTATTTGTGCAATCTAGAGACTGTTAAGACATTGTTCTACCATTGAATTGAAGCCGACTATGGTGAATGTATTGAATGTGATGCCATACTGCTTTGTCAGATTTGTGATGTTTTTGTGATTCTTTCAAGCTATAGGACTGTGCTGGCGGTTAAGCTGTTGTATCAGCAACAGGTCAAATGTTGGTCATGATGATGAGTAATGTCTGCTCTTTGTGCTCAATCGTTTTTGTGGCAAGTTGGTATTTTACACAAAGATGATATTTGGTGAGAAAACTACAAAAGGTGAAGAAGTTCCCAATGAATCCATCATTTTGTTTATTCCAACTTCACCAAATATACTTGCAAGAAATTAGCTACAGCCCACTACCAGCCCATCCTAGTTGTCATTTCCAACCATGGTAAAGCCCAGGAAGAAACATGGACAGAATACGGCTTAATATCCAGACTACCAACAGGCAAGCTCAACCTCAGACCACCAGCAACAACCTTCAACAGCATACCAATTTCATCATCAACAACTTCAACAGCAACAACAACCATCATGTTCAATATACTGCTGCTAGAAACAACATCAAATCCGTCAACAATAGTTTTTATTTATCCTATTTCAAAAGACTTGGTATTCATGATGGTTCAATTCAATTGATTGGTTCATCTATTGGAGATTATACAAAACTTCTCATCCCGTTGATGCAAAACCTTTCAAAGTCATCACAACCATTTCTCAATTTTGATCTGATTGAACAATTTCCTAATCAAGATAACTGTTGGATGCCAAAATCAAACTGTTGTTATGTTTCACATGAATTTTTGATGAATGTACTATTGTTGAGTAATGTGGTGGAAAAAGATCAAAGACAAAAGATCTGTCACCCCATGAAGAGTGACCGTCCAGACCACACATATTACTGGGAGCTCACACCATCACAAGCTAAAACCAGGTAGATTTTAGATAAGCTTGCTTTGGTTGTTGGATATAAAATTAAATACTCCAAGTCAATTGATGAAAGAGCTTCAACGCTTTGGGAAAACCATCGGTATTTTTGGGCTCAGGTGGTTCTATCGAAAAAAAATGGTGACTATATAACTGGCCAAAGTGATCACCATTTAAACTGCTTGGGTTGTGTTTTGAGCTGAAAATTTATCTACCTTTCCCTTTGGAATAACTATTGTAGTTTGCGAATGTAGCTTCTCTTTTGATTTGACTTGGTTTGTAGAGCGTGTGACCTTGACATTATCTTCAATTATAACTTTAGTTTGATGTGCTTGGCTTGTAATTTGGATGATGGTTGAGGCATATTGGTTTGGAATTTGCATTGGTAGTGAACTGTTGGATAGTTATGCAAAGGTTTGTGGAATTCCATTGGTGAATTTGGGCTATCCTTGATCTTTTTACAACACCAATTATGGCATTGTAGCTTGACAGGGAATCGCCACTCTAAAAGAACTACATTCCACTTACAATTTTGAATGATTGGCTCTTCTTTATATAGTTTTTTGCAAGAGCCCTATTTTTTCTGTTGAGGTGAAGACCATGAGAGGTTTCTATATTCTCATGCGATGATATATTGATTTCTCGTCCAAAAATAGTAATATGCGATCTATTGAGACCATTTGGTAGATATGGGCTTTGGAGAGATAGCTTGTCGATTCTGAAGAGCTCTTTGACATCAAAAATCGTCTCAACAGTCTTTATCAAAAGCCCAGAGTCCACCAAGCAATGTGTCAAAATTCAAAAAAACAGCCATGAGAAAGCATTTTGTAGATTTCAGATCCCAGATATGCCAAAGATCATATGAAATAACAATCAAGTATGTCGAATATCAGCCTTTCATGGTTTCCTCATTAGCTAGTTCAGAACTTTAGCACCTCAGCATCTCAGCCTCTTATTTTGACCGATCAACAGTCAGATGACCATGGCACTAAATACTACAGAAACGCCAAAAAAAAATATCAACAATTACCACATGAACCGATACAATTCAACAACCACTATCATCACTTCCCTGAACAAATCAATTGGTGGTGGTCTTGAGGGCTATTTCGTGGTTTGGGTACAGCCCTATTGTTATCTTTAGCCTTTCCCTTTTCAGAAGTCACAGACAAACTTTCACCAAACTAAAAAAGAAAAATTTTTGACAGCACGAGTTCACGGTTTGTGTATTGTTGAGAATTTCTAGACAAGTGGTGAGCTGGCTTAGAAGGTGGGTACATCTCAGCATGTTTCTATATCGTCTCCAGCGCAGAGTACGATCTCTGAGAACGCGGTTTGTGTATTCCAAGGGTAAACCGATCCCAGCGGTTACACTATTCATATCAATAGCGTTCCTCATATTGGTGGCCATTGTCGTTTTATTGGTGACGAGATCTAAGAATACTGATGATGAGAAAAAGATTATAAGGAGTCAGGTGAACTACAAGTCTAAAATGGATGCGCCTTTCATAGAAGGTTGTTCAATTCCTAATGTTGATGGTCCTAGAGCGAATGCCACTTTTGTCATATTGGCACGTAATAATGAATTGGATGATGTGATATCTAGTATGAAATCGTTAGAAAGACATTTTAATCAATGGTTTGGATACCCCTATGTGTTTTTAAATGATGAGGAGTTTAATGAAGAGTTTAAAATTGGTGTGAAGAATTATACAATGGCTAATGTTGAGTTTGGTGTCATTAGTCCTGATCATTGGAAATTCCCCAATGAGGATAGCGTGGAGTTTAAAGAATGGGTGGAGACTCAAGGTGATAGAGGTATTATGTATGGTTCTATGAAGTCGTATCATTCAATGTGTCGGTTTTATTCAGGGTTTTTCCATAAACATGAATTGGTGAGGAAATTTGAATGGTATTGGAGAGTTGAACCTGATGTTGAGTTTTTCTGTGATTTGACATATGACCCTTTTATTGAGATGGCTAAATCTGGTAAAAAATATGGTTTCACAATAATGATTAAAGAGTTATGGGAAACTGTACCAAATTTGTTTAGGTATACTCAAGCTTTCTTAAAACAGGATGGAATCTCTAAAAAAAGTTCATGGAGATTATTTGTGGAAAATTATAAAGACAAATGGTTTTATATTGGTCGTGATTTTGAAGATAAATATGCAAATTTCAAAGATGAAAAAGATCTGAAGAATAGAGTAAGAGACTTGGTAAAGATTAAACAATTGTTGAAAAATTCCAAGAATATAGACAACTCTGGTGATTCTGATTTGAAGACAGATCAATTGAAAGCACTCATCAAAAAGGCAACTTCAGGATCAAAACCTCTGCAAGGTGAACAAATCGATGATGAAGATTATAACCTTTATCATTTTTGGTCAAATTTTGAAATTGCAAGAGTAGATCTTTGGGATAACCATCTATATGATTCATATTTCCAATATCTTGAAGAGACTGGAGGTTTTTATAAAGAAAGATGGGGTGATGCACCTGTTCATAGTCTTGCCGTTGGTTTCCTGTTGGATTTACAAGAAATCCATTATTTTAGGGATATCGGTTATCAGCATACCACAATTGCTCATTGTCCTTCAAATCATCCAAATCAATTACCTTATGAAAGTTCTAAAACTTACAAATCCAGTGACAAGAAGTTTGAAAAATATTGGTCTAAATTTGATCCCAAAAAACCTTATGGTGTTGGTTGTAGGTGCAGATGTCCCTCGGGTCATAAAGATATTGAAGATTCCAATAATGATTTCTTGAAAGAATGGTTTGAAATGACACAAGATGATTATCAGAAACCAAAACCAATAAATATTAACAAGTTGGAAAGACAAGTGAGAAAAGAGCTAAGAGTATAGAAATGTTGGTATAATAATACTAAGAATCAATGGAGAATCATTCGTAGATTCAGTACTGTTTGGTAGAATAATATCCTTGAATAGCAAAGCACCAATTCAAAATAAGAATGAAGACATTTAGAATGTGAAGCACTACAATTATCTTTTAACCTAAATGATTCATATTGACTAATATACAAATAACCCAAAAACACTCATTAACCTTAATTACCGAAACCATACAAAGTTCTACCTTGTCTTTTCAAAGCATAAACAACATCTAATGAAGTAACAGTTTTTCTTTTAGCGTGTTCAGTGTAAGTGACAGCATCTCTGATAACGTTTTCTAAGAATGATTTCAAGACACCTCTGACTTCTTCATAAATTAAAGCTGAGATACGTTTAACACCACCTCTTCTTGCAAGACGACGAATAGCTGGTTTTGTAATACCTTGAATGTTATCTCTCAAGATTTTTCTGTGACGTTTAGCACCACCTTTACCAAGACCTTTACCACCTTTTCCTCTACCGGACATTTTGTTATTATAATTATTGTTTGTTAGATAAAGAAAAGTTGAATTGGATTTGGAATGAACTGGATCTTTGATTCCTTATATACAATGGGATCCAACTTGTTGATATCGCGCCTGTTTTTGTTTACGTTCGTGTCATTCTGACAATTACACAAGTGCACTGTGTAAAGCTGGGCACCGTACATCTGGGCACCGGGATAAGCGTAAATTGTGGAATGGCATAAAGTATGTTCTGATATTTACACTGACACTATGTGTAACTCTGAGAATGACACAGAACACCCGTTCCCAGATGTTCACTACTAAACGCCTCTTAACTGGTGAAGATCTCAGCACGCCACCATGTCCATCTTTGTTTACTTTTCCCAAACGTAAACAAACAATATCCAGAACACGACTTTTAAAATCAGACCGTGTCAGTGGCCCCCCAGATCGAATATATAAAGACTCTGGAAACTCACCTTCTGGAAAACTCAAACTCCATTTTATCATCCATCAACCAACAATGGCCAGAACAAAACAAACAGCAAGAAAATCCACTGGTGGTAAAGCACCAAGAAAACAATTAGCTTCAAAAGCTGCTAGAAAATCAGCTCCATCTACCGGTGGTGTTAAAAAACCTCACAGATATAAACCAGGTACCGTTGCCTTAAGAGAAATCAGAAGATTCCAAAAATCTACTGAATTATTGATCAGAAAATTACCATTCCAAAGATTAGTCCGTGAAATTGCTCAAGATTTCAAAACTGATTTAAGATTCCAATCTTCTGCTATCGGTGCCTTACAAGAATCCGTTGAAGCTTACTTAGTCTCCTTATTTGAAGATACCAACTTGGCTGCTATCCACGCTAAACGTGTTACCATCCAAAAGAAAGATATCCAATTAGCTAGAAGATTAAGAGGTGAAAGATCATAAGTTTATTAACATAAGGGAAATTATTTTGGGTAAATTATGATTTATTTTGTATATTAGATGGGTAAAATTTTATGATTTTAGTTTTAATGAGAAATTGAATTGGAAATTGTAGTCACGTGAAATATCTATTATGTAATCATTTTAGATGACACTTTTGTAAATGACATGAAATTTAGAAACCTTGAAGTTGCTAAAACGAACAACACCTTCAATTGATCGAATAACATACTCAATAATCACATCATGGTGGAAATTACAGAGATTAAAGATGAAGTTCAAAAAGATATCAATACCAAAATTGATACAAATGCCCCATTAACCCAACAGTTTTATCAATCTTCAAGAACTCCATATCCTTCATGGGCTTTTGCATCTTTATTAATCCCAACCCCATTGTTTTCAAAACAAATCTCATTACAATCTTCATCTGGTGGATTCCTTTCTAAAACTAAAACAGTGGGTCCATCTCCAATCAATTCTTTGTTCTTTGGTAGTGCAATGGCTCTTGGTGGATGGATCATAAATGAAGGTGATGTAGAGAGTGGTTCAGGTTTCATAACAGCTTGGACTTCATTATATCTTTTAGTTAATGGTACAAATTCAATTAAAGCACTTGGTCATGGTAAAGTTTGGCCATTGTTATTATCTGGTGTTGCTGGTGGTAATTTGTATATTCATGGTAAAAGATTCTTTTTCGGTTCAGGAATTTGAAACTACACCTATAACTATATTTCCAGTAACTGTGTCATTATAATACATGATTTAATGTTGTGTTTCCATGATCACCATTTCAAAGGTAACCATCCATTCTTTGTTGCAATCTCTGTTATTTCTTTCTCACCATACATTTCAATAAATTGTTGATCTAAAGGTCTAGCCTTAGGTGCAGCAAATCTTCTATATTCATCCAAAATCATTGTTAAACTCCATCCTTGTAATCTTCTTATACATCCAACTAGACATCCTGTCCTATGTTTCCCCCTATTACAATGTATTAGTAATGGATGGTTTTCCGGATTTATTGCAATTTTTAAAGCTTGTGTAATAATATCATGTGGAACATTAACAAATGGTTCTTTATTACCACTCATACCAACTTGGAAAAAAGTTATACCTTGTTTTGATAAAAAATTTAAATTTTCTTCAGGATATTCATCAGGAACTAAAACTAGTATTGATTTTAATTTTAAATTTGATAAAAATTCAAAATTCTCCACTCTAGGAAATGAAGATCTATAAATTTTACCAACAACAGGTGCAAAATTCTCAGGTGGTGCAAATTCTTTTATTATTGGTGCTGATTCCTTATCTTCAATATGCTCTTTTTCTAAAAATTCTCCCAATTTATCAATATTATTTATCCGATGTTGAAACTCATGTTGTAGAAACCCCAATTCTTGTTTCAATTCACCATTCTCCATCACGATATCATCCATTTCAAATGGGGTTTCATTTGAAGTTAACCTTGTTTCGTATTCATCATCACTATACTGTCGTTTATCTTCTGTTGGATCACGATCTTCTAGATCCATCCGATAATCGGTGGCCATATTCTTTTTTATTTATCCTGGGCTTTATTGAAACTTGACTTCAATTATAATTTAAACTATTGTAAAGAAAGTGATATGTTTAAAATAAAACACAAGTCTCTCTTTCGCTTTGTTCCTTTTCTAGATATTTGATTCTCAAAACATTACTTATAAACTCTCCTATAATAAAACGAGGATAAAAAAGATTGGTAGTAATTGTAATTGTGGGAGATGAATGTATGACCAGCTATAATCCACCAAGCACCAGCAAAGAGAGCAGTTCCCTCTTTAAAACTTATTCCAAAAAGAACAGAAAACAGTACTTTTCCAAAACAGAAATTAACAAAATGTTGAACAAAATTCGATTCATGTTTTTTTTTTCTCAAACTTCCAAAAGAGAATATTCGCGAATTGGCAATGGGCCACTACGCCAATAACCAAATTAAATTTATAATCATCATCATATTTAAAACCCAATACTAGTACCTAAATCAAATCCGTTTGTATAAATATCATTATTCATTAATAAGGAATCAAAAACCTCGTCACTCCCATCAAAATTGAGCACGTCAAACTTCAAATTATCTTGAATTTCAACCAATTTTAAATCATTCTTTATACCTTCTAAAACTTCCAATATTCTAGTTGTAGTTAAATCTAACCTTGAACTATTCATGAAGAAAGTGACATTCGTAATACACTCCATCAATACTTTCTTATCAACCATATGCTCATCAATATCCAATTCCAACATATCATTAGAACTATTTGATAAATAGATGAAGAATAATGCCAATACTAAAGTTGCTGAATATCCATAAATACAATCAGTGGCAAGAGCACCATAATTAAATTTCATATCAACAGCTAGTCTTAGCAGTTTGGAACATTTCATTGATGCGTTTATCCCCGTTTTCATAATGTTTAATAACGTTTCATCTGTACGAACTTTATAATTTGTTGTTGCAATGTAAACCATGAATGGTAATGTTAATGTAACCATATAATAGTTGAATACCAAGTTTAACTTGTAGTCATAGATTGTTTTGATCTGATCCATTGGAGTCATTTGTAATTCTTTAGATATTGTGATAAGTTGATTCTTCATTAATAAAGTTCTTTCAATGTTGATTAACGATATTGGTTGTTGACCATTTGAACTTTTACGTTCTTTTAGAATCTTATTTAAAAATCTTGATAATTTAACTTCTGTCATGTAATAAGTCTTGAATTGTGGGTCCAAGTAAGGAAATTGATCCAAGTTTGGATAATCAATATCTATTTCATCTTCATTGATATTGCTTGGTCTTCCAAATGTGGAGCATAGAGTTAATTCAATCTTGTATAATGACCATAATACTTGTGATGTTAGGTTGAAATGTTCTGTCTTTTTGGACATGATTTTTTTATGGATACCTAATGAAATTGCTTGTCTTATTGCTAATCCTATCAAGTTCCATGCAGAATCTCTATTCTTGTTTGAATGTAAATATCTGGCAAATAGATACAAGAATTGTATTGAATTGATTGTTGATGCTAATGCAACATCTGATAAAATGATTTGTAACACTTCTAAAATCTTCCCATAATCTAGAGTTGTTTTATAATCTGAGTTTTTAGATGCAATCAGCCAGACAAGATAAATACATCCGATATATGAATTGGATAAAGGTTCTTTATTCTCATCTTCATTTGAATTATTCTCCAAAACTTTCCAAAACCGTTCATATTTCAATCTGAAAATTTGTTCATCAAATATGAAATAAAAAGGATGGAAAAATCTAAAGAAAAAATTGATATAATAATCAGATTCCTCTTTTGATATGAATTTAATCATGGGGAAATTTGGTTCTTTCAAAATCAACTCACTAATAGCAACTTTAGAATGATTATCAACTCTATTTTGGAAAAGTTTCAATTCATAATCAAATGATAGATTGGTTCTATAAGATCTTTTCAACAATAAATCACACAAGACACTGAATAAAACTGGGGTACCTGATGATCCAATGAAATGAGAACCACCTTTTGAATCAAACACCAACGTATCAGAAGTTGCAAAGGCTGGTGCACTAGGTTTTGATGGGCCTCCATGTGATTCCTTTGGGGTATTATTCATAGCTTGAATTGAACCTCCATCACCATCACCATCATCAGTACCAGCAACTGAATTCCCACTTGGAGTTTCAAATCTTGGGGAGAACGGTTTCAGTATCTTGGACTCGACATCAAACTTTTTCAAATCATCCTGAGGGATCCCAGAAGACATTTTCAACCCCAAAGTCTCACCCAACCCAATCAATTCGTTAATATCATTGGTATCAACATCTGGATATAACCCTTGCACCAAGGTCAACAACGTCTGGTAATGCATCCCCAAATTCTCAAACGAGGAATACACTCTTCTTCTCCTTGGAATACTCGTCGTGCACTCGACACCAGATTTCTGGCAATTGTTACACGGGGTGACTTTATCAAACTTGTTGATGTTTTCGTCCAAATCAGTCCTGTTGCACTTGATCTTTTTGGTCTTGCAACGGTCGCAGCTGAACGCTGCTCGACGTCTGCTCTCGGGAGGCACCAGTCTGCTTTTCTGCTTCTTCTTCACCTTGGAGTCACTCATAGTTTAAGCCCTTTCAATTGGCGTATTATCGATTTTAATTGTGAAATGAATTCTTTTTTACTCAATTTTTCGTATTCGGATTCACTTCTCCATCGGAAAAATGTGTAAAAAGCATTGAAATAATCCAAAAAGCCATAATCAACAAGATTTGACACATTTCAACCACTTCAAAAGCTCCTGGAAACCATGGCCTCAGTCCAATCCTCAGTCATCAACTTGACAAAGACAATCATCGGCGCAGGACTCCTGGCCATCCCTTTTGCCTTCAAAGCTGACGGTATCGTATTGGGTATCTCACTAATCCTTATTGCTGGGATAGCTTCATCTTATGGATTATACATTGTCGGTAAAGTTAGTGCCAAAGTCCCTGGTGATACGTCTTATTTTGCTCTCTGTGCTATAACGTATCCTAAACTGACCCTGTTGTTTGATTTCTCCATTGCTATTCAATGTTTTGGTGTGGCTTTAAGTTATTTGGTATTGATTGGAGATTTGGTTCCTTCGTTAATTGGTGATGTTATTTCAAGAAACCAAGCCATCTTGTTCTCTTTGGTTATAATCATACCATTAGTCAGTTTTAGAAAATTGGATTCTTTGAAAATTGGTTCATTAATTGGATTATTAGCTATTGGTTATTTGACAGTATTGGTTATTTCTCATTCAATATGGGATGATTGGTCCAAGACTCAAGGACATGTTAAAATTGTTGAGATTGGTTCAATAAGTGATATTTTATCAACTTTTTCCATAATCATATTTGCATTCACAGCTGCACAAAATATATGTTCAATTATTAATGAAATTAATGACAAGTCAAGATTAAATTTTGTTATTGGAGCTGCAAATATAATAGCAAGTGTATTGTTCATTAGTGTTGGTATTGCAGGTTATTTACAATTTGGTGATAATGTTAAAGGGAATGTGATCTTGGAGTATAAGAGTAAATTATTAAGTTCTAAAGTTGGTAAATTTGCCCTAGTGTTGATGGTTACATTATCATATCCATTAATGTTTCATCCATGTCGTTTATCACTAAATAATATGGTTCATTGGATTGAATTGGAAGTTCAAAAGGAACAATCACCAATCAATGAATCAACCGCATTATTGAATGATGAAGAACATAACTCTAATAATCAAATCGTGCCATTTTCAACAAATAGATTTGTGGTAATCACTGTCTTGTTAACTTTAGCAACTTATGGATTGGCATTATCAATAACTTCATTTGAATTGGTGTTATCATTAGTTGGTGCCACTGGATCTACATTGATTTGTTTCATCTTGCCTGGGTTATTTGGTTATAAATTATTTGATGATAAAGATTTTAATAAAAGTGCAAGTTTAACATTAACAATATTTGGATTGGTGGTGATGATTACATCAGTCTTTGCAACTTTACGCTACAATTAATAAAACAAGCTTATAGAAATAAAGAATATTATTATATGAAATACAAACATGTATGGTATTGTAATAATAATAATAATAGTGTAATAATAACTTAATTAAATTAATGAAATGCAAAAAGTATGTCTCTATAAATCCTCTTCCTTGTAATTTTTTTTTCAATCTCTCTATGATTCCCTTCATTCATCATCATCTTCATCTTCATCATCACTTCTAACATCATCAGCACCAGATCCAGTAATAACTTTTATAGCAACTTTAGCAATAAAATACATCCAAATCACCATTATAACCTGTAACCCACCTAATAAGGATAAGAAAACATCAATAATCTTATCAGTAAAACATCTTTTTTGATAGATACCTTCAATACATCTTCCAGAAGCCATTAAATCTCTTGCTTTTGTAGCAGCATGATAAAAAATATAATTATAAATACCATGTCTTAATATAACCCAACTTGTTAAAAAAACTCCAAACAAAACATCACAAATAACTTGAAACCCACAATATTTTAATAATTTGGCACTTGATAAGAAAATATCAACAACATCCATCAACACTAATATAACGTTCCCAATTCTTGTGAAATAATAATAATATGAACCAACAACTAATGCAATCGTAATGATATGATGACTAAACATCTGGATATGATCTTTTCTTTTAGCTTCAATGTTTAAAGTGAAGATTTGTTGAGCCCATGATGCAATTGACATTAAATAATAAAATTTGAAAAGATGAGACATTTGATCATGAGGCCAACCGATATAAAAATTATCAAATTTGCAAAAATATGGAGAGTGATAATAAAGATAAGCACCTGTTGTGAAAGAGGTTGAGTATAATATAACCATCCAACCTTGTTCCATAAAACGTTGTTTTGCCTTTGTGGAATATATCTTGTTTTGTTTGGCAATTGGTTTTAGGATATAATGCATTGAAAAAGCTCTAATGAATGTGACAGCAAAGATTCCTGTTATGATGATATAGATATCATCTTTACCAATGTCATATTTATCAATATCTGCATATTTATGTTGAAGATGTAAAAATTTTGTAGTGTATGGTTGGAAAATTTGAAATTTATTTAGGAAAAATAATGTGAATAATGCAATTAATGATATTTCGATTTGATATTTATCAATTCTGTTTGTCTTGTATGTATGTTTTTTAGGTTTTAATGATGAAGAAGATGATTTCGGTATTTGTTCAACATCTGATGATAAGGATGCGATTTTTTCATCCTCTGAAGACGATGAAGATGAAGAAGACACGCTTGAAGAGTCTGATAATTTGACTTGAGAAACCAATGTCTCGTTAACTTTGGAGGAAGAGTTTGTAACACAGCCCATCTTGAATCTCTATCTTTGATGTTGTTGTAGTAGTATCTCAAAGAATAGTAATGATAAAATTGAACTGAAATTAAAGCTTTCTATAGCAAAACGAATGAACCCAGTACCAGCACCAACACCAGCAGAACAAGCACAAAAACCAATCAATTGAAAAAGCGATCCCAAGCAGCTGATCAACGAAACGTTCCTGAGTCTGACAGCGTATCCTTCTTTTTTTTTTCCAATTAAAAAAACTTTTGACGAAAACACGAAAAGAAAGAAAAAAAAAAATTGAAAACAAGGAGCAGCGCAACACAACCGTTTCCTAATCGGGCAGTCAAGGATTCTCAGTGTATTATATCAACGGTTCAGCAAAACACTTTCCAACGGTTTCTTGCAGTGGTTCTCGTCGTAGGACTCCCAGACTTCGTAGAGAGTGATCATCTCTTGCACGGCCTCGACTACCTCTGCCAAATCGATGTTGGAGTGGCCCAAAAAGTGGACATATGCCCTGAGAGCATCGCTTTTAAGCAACTCCTCATTCATTGGCGTGGGCTTGGAGTTCTTTAATGCTTCTTTCTGTAAATGGACAAGATGGTTATGCTTGAGCACTATGGTCAAGTACACGGAGGCAGCTGCGATGATGTGTGGTGGGAAAATAAGTGGGAGGTCTGTGACATAGCTATCGTTGATGATGGACCAACTGGATTGTAATTCTTCTGGAGATAATGACGATGGACTCTTTGCTGTCTCATCATTTGGTGCTGTTGCTGCTGCTGGGATTCCATTGGTGTTATTCTTTCTATTGTAATTTGTCAACACTTCATTGATCAATATCAACGATCTATACGGATGATGAACAATCAAATAAGTATCCAACTCTTCAATCAAGTAAAATTCAAACTCTGCAACTTTTGTAGCATCATGAGGGATATACTCTGGCCATAGGTTTCTTGCCTCAGAGACAATGGTTCTTATATGCTGTGGACACTCTTCTATTTTGCAACTGAGATAGATACAAGTTGTTATCAACAAGTACAAATTCACCTCTTTCAAGGAGACTCTGGTGAGGAACCTCATCAGATACACCTCTGCCGTCGAGAGAGCCACCTGTCGCACACTCAGTCTTCGTCCCAACTTGTTCACCAGCGAATGGATGTAGATTCTCATGTACAAGTCGTATTGGACGCTCACTTTGGACACCAACTCGCTCTGCTCCATCGTGGTCTCCAACAGCTTCAATTCGTCTCGTGTTTCCTGGAGCGACTCTCTGGTGAACTGCCAGTGCATTCTCTGCGTCGATGACCAGAAATCAGCAGCCATTGTCCTAGTATTCTCGTACTAATCTCCTGTTTTCACTCTGAATTTGTCATTGGAATATGCCTTTTCGCTTTAATCAATTTTCAAATTCATTTGTACTCAGTTTTGCACACCGAAAAACCTGGAGACTCACACTTTCGCAGTTTACTCCTTTTTTCATTATGCCAACACCATCTAAAAACTACATATTCACTAATATCCCAATACAATAACCATATATTTTCATTATAAACCCAACACTATCCCCTAATAATCCCTGTTTAACCCACTTCATTCCAAATCAATCCTTAACTATGTCGCGAATTTCCCAAAGCCCTAACAAAATTTCGTTTTTTGGCCATATAAAAACCATGAAAAAAAAATTTTCATCTCTCTTTCTTCTCTTTTCAACTTCTTCACGTTCATGAGCAAAGAATTGTTATAAATCGAAGCTTACAAAAGGATGATTCCAATCATCACTGCAACATGCTTTGGGGAAAGTCTCCGACCATTCACACGGAAATCGTGATGAGAATTTTATCAACTCATCAAGACTTGAATCTTTACAAAACTTTGAACCCATCCTATTCGCCTAATGAAGCAGAACTTGGAGATTGTTGATGGTGATTCATGTTTCCGGTTGTTTTTCATCTTGCATTTGTGCTAAATTGGAACCCCAACATCTTGATTCGATTGTCCTGGAACAATACTCCTCTTGAGTCTTTGTGATTATCATGTTTCCACATGGTTTTTCAATTGTTGTGATGCAGGTGTAATTGGTCTTGATATACGTTGGATCTAATGATGGCTTCAAAACCGTGGGAGATTAATGACTGGCTTGCAATCCCATATTGAATCCTTCCACTTCTCTTTATGGGATTGAATGTTTGGGGGTGAGATTCGGAACTATTTCATGTCTTTCTGAACTTTCATCAGATCATGTATTGATTCTGGTTGAATTCTTCGGTATTTGGGGTGGATTGCATCACCTAAACGATAGTTATAACAATTGGTTATTCCTCATGGGAATGATTAACCCAATGGAGCTTACTCTTGCTTCATGAACGTCACTTTTCCAAAAGCTTGTTCTTTTTTTAGAAAGAATTGCATAGTCAAATATGCCAGGCTTACCCAAACTAATTACTGTTTTTAGATCAAAGAAGGAAATAATTTGAATAAATGCATTTTCGAGGTTTTAAGTGATGAGATACCAAATGCAACATAGAGTCAAGCTCAGAGTTTCAAAAGAAAACAGAGACGAGAATTGCTAATAGTTTCTGATTGATCTTGAAATTGCCCTTTATTCACTTATTCCTCCTTTAGTTTATATAGAAATATAAACTTGACGTCGATCTAGACTTTTGTAAAACACATTCGCGAATAATCTATTATGAAAAAAAAAAATTGGTCGAGTATTAATCAATTCTTTTAATCAAACCAAACAACCTCCAAACTGTTTTCCTCACTAATCAGATCCAGCATAACTCAATCCTCACTAATGATCATGTCTGATTCCAAACCTCAGGCAGCAGCAGGGTTCCACCATCTCATAAAATACTTTGACATTGGTGTGAACTTCACAGATCCAATGTTTCACGGTTCATACCATGGTAAAAATCATCATCAATCAGATATAGAAGATGTCATACTCCGTGCTAAAACGTTCAACGTTCGTAGGATGTTACTAACAGGGAGTTCATTAGAAGAGAGCAGAACAACTTTGGAAATAGCAAGTTCTTATCCTGATTATTTATACTCCACTGTTGGTGTTCATCCATGTTCTGTTAACGAGATTAATGAAACTAATGAAGTTGAGTATTTACAAAATTTAAAAGAATTGGCAATAAGTGGTAAGAAAGCGGGTATAGTGAAGGCGTTTGGTGAGATTGGGTTAGATTATGATAGGTTACATTATACACCAAAAGAGCATCAGTTGAAATATTTCCAAAAACAATTGGATATAGCTGTGGAAGTTGGACTACCTTTATTTTTACACATGAGAGCTGCTAATGATGATTTCATACAAACTATTAAACCATATTTACATCAATTGAAGAATGGGGTGGTTCATTCATTTACAGGTACCTTGGAAGAATTGGATGCATTACTTGAATTGGGTTTTTACATTGGTATAAATGGTTGTTCTTTGAAAACTGAAGAGAATTTAAAAGTTGTTGAAAAAATCCCTCTTGAAAAGTTAATGATTGAAACTGATGCGCCTTGGTGTGAGATTAGGAAAACTCATGCAGGTTATAAATATTTAACAAGTTATCCTAATGAGACTTATCCTCAAGTTTTAACTAAACAATCTTCAGAAATTTCATTGAATTCTATAGCATCATCTAAAAAAGCTCCACAAATTAAACTTGACCCATTATTACCTTTCCCAGTTTTGAAAAAAGAACAATATGATAGATATGATCCAACTATAAGAACTTTAATTGGTGAAAAAGCTTCACCTTTAATTAAATCAAGAAATGAACCTGTTCATATTGGTCAAGTTGTGGAAATTATTGCAAAAGTTAAAAATGAATCTGTTGAAACTGTTGTTAAACATGCATGGGAAAACACTTTGAAATTATTTAAAGTTGAAGATGTTGATGATGAAGAGTTTTTTACATATTAGAATTAGACAATAAAATGTACTAATTATAGACCCCAAACTATTCATCTCTTGCAAATCTCAATCATATTTCCATAATTAAGGAGTCAATGCAAAAACAATTGCACCAATTGAAATACCAATAATCAATGAAACCCACTGCAACAAAATGATACAAACAAGACGCATATTAAGAACAACAAAGTTCTGACCAATTCTCAAACCCCTTTCATTTTTTTGAGATATCTTGTTTGCAATGATAATAGTAGGCAATAAGAATGTAATAAAGAATAAAGAAATTATAGGAACACCAAGTGCCCAAGGACCACGAATGACATTAGATAACGTATTCAAAAGGGAAACAATAAAAATTCCAAGAATTGAAACAAAAAGTAATGGGAATAATAAAAACATTTCAATTCTGAATGTTCTGAGTCTAGATGCTTCAAGCTGTTTATGAAACTCATATAAAGGCTTTGCAATGTTTTCATGATGATACAACACAAACCTGTTCACTTTCCCAGTTTCATACAAATCATTTGAGTCAAATGGCTTTTCATCCAGAGTTGCAGAACCTTCACCAGACTCATTATCATTCACACCACCAACACCACTTTGCACCTTTTTAGTTGAATTGCCAATAGTACCACGAATAATGGATTTATGACTTCTTGTCGAAGTTGCAGCTTTGAAGCTTTTCCCAGTAACTTGTCTTGTACTTGACCCACCATTATTCCCAGCAGTACCAACCTCAATGTCTTTAACAGTACCACCACCTTCAACCAACATCATACCCTCGATATCATGAGGAGCTTCAGGTGCTAAATAATGAAACCCAGACAGGCCATCAACGGTATTGAAAGCATCTTTTCTTAATCTCATCCAATCCCATCTCACTAATGAATACAACATTAAAGATAATTTCAGCATGTGTCAATGACAGAATGATAAAATGCAAATGAAAAGCCAGTATACAACCATGAAGTTAGTGAATTAACTGAGTTCAAATAAATATATTTCGTATCGTATAGGCAATTTGTAGTAATAGATGGCGTGGAAATGAGACAAAATTACTGTGGATTTCTCTTCTGACGCCACACATATCGAGGTTCAAACTTTCACAACTATATAAAGGGTGTGTATAATTACCAGCTCAAGTTTATTCCTCTCTTATTATTTATCCACTTCCTTCATTCAAGAGAAAATGGCTCAATTCAACGATAACGATCCAAAAGCATCATCCAATCAATCTCTAAACCTTTGATGATTGCATTGTTCTCCCCTGTGATGAATTTGCCGTAGACGTCTGGTAAATAAGATTGAATTAACCAGATTGTGTTTTGCATTTGAGTTGATAAATCACGATAACCATCTTCAACTTGTGCATGGATAATTGGTTGGGTTGGGATCTTTGGGGAAATGAAATCGTGGGACATGATTGTGAGGAATAACCAGTAGAGATTGGCTTGCCATTATGAATAGTAGACGTTGAATAGTTTAAATTGGCATTATCACTGCTTTTAAACGAAAATATTGTTACTTTTGTGTCAAAATTGAACATATTGGATTTGAAAATTACGTAATCAATATAACCAATTCAAAGCCATAACTAGTTAAATTCAACTAGACTCAATATAAATTTGTATTACATCTTCTTATTCTTAACAGTGTAAGTAATTTATATATTGTAATAAAAAAAGGGGTCAAAAATAATAATAATAAAACTCAAAAACTAGCTATACAATAAAATCAATCATCAACCATTTGCTTTCCCATGAAACATTGTAATCAATACAAAATAACTTCAAATAAAAAAAATTAATTAAATATAGTGATAAAAAAAGAAAATATCTGCTTTCTGTGTGTATCATTAATAGCTTATTGAAACGACTTGGATTGTATAAAAATGATAAAAAAATTTGTGATCAGTAAAAAAAGGAGAGGAAAAATAAAAGGAATTGGGAAAAATGAATAAACATCTATGATATGGTACAACGAGATGGATTGGGGTGATATTGAAAGAATGACTCAATTGAAAAAACCAAAATATGCAATTTGAAAAAATGTAATAAATATAAAATGAAATTGTCTGTTTTCCCATTTTTTGGTTTCCATTTTGTAAAAAAAATCATTCAGTCTAAAGCTCCCCATCATCTTAAAAAACACTTCATCATTCATGATTTTGAAATATCAACATCTTCAGATTCTTCTTTATGAGAAGTTGAAACCTCATCTTCTTCATCAACTTCAGTTATGGAATTTTTCTTTGCACCATCAGTTTCATTTGAAGCTTCACCATCATCTTCTTGATTTTTATCAGCACCTAAAGATGACAAGATATTTGAACTATCTAAATATAAAACACCATTTTGACTAGTTAATAAATTGTTTTCTAATAATTGTTGAATTGAAAAACTTGATTTCAAATCATCATTACCAATGATATTTTCCTCTTGACTTTGTAAACCTTGATTACGTTCCTCTTCTGTATAAATTTCATTAGCAACTTCTTCAAAACTTTTAGAAATTGGTCCTTTTTTAGCAATGATATGATCATACCATTCTTCTAAAGTTTTACCTTGTAATAAAGCAACAATAACAATGGACATATTATCACAACCAATTCCTGAACCTCCAGAAGATGGGGCAAGACATACATCCATAATGGATTCTGAAATTTCCACCAAAGATTTACGATCATTAATACCTCTTCTAACAACTTCAACAACTTGTTGAGAACTTAAACAATCCCAAATACCATCACAAGCCAATACAACAAATTCATCATTTTCAGTTATATCATGTTCAATAATATCTGGGAACGCAGTAACGATTTGTTCTTCTGGTGGTAAATCAGTTGATTTTTTAAAATCAAAATCACCAATAGCTCTTGATAAGGCTAAATTACCATTAACTCTACCAATATCAACAAACCCACCTGCAGCACAGATTCTTGCATGTTCACCTTCGTTATTTGGTTTATGATCATAACTTAAAGGTTTTGCAGACCCATTAACAGATAAAACAGTTCTTGAATCACCAGCATTTGCACAAACAATTTTTTTAGAGTTTAATAAAACAGTTGTAGCAGTACAACCACTTTGATCTAATTTTAATTCATTATCTTCCAAGATTTCTCTATCAGTAGCTAAAAAAGTGTTTTGTAAAGCCTTACCGAAATTTCCTTTATGAAATTCTGGTTCTTTTGTAATCAATTTGTATAAATTATCACCGGTATATTTAGCAATACGATCACCACCATGACCATCATACACAGCAAAGAATGCAACTGGGTCTGTAGAGTCAGTCACTGTGTTTTTGCTTGTGCTTGCTGTCTTAGTTTCATTATCATCGTTAGAATTGTCATCATCTGTCTTGATATCGTCATTATTATTATTATTGTTGTTGTTGTTTGTCTTTTCCAAATCTAAAATTGTGGTATGAGCATCCTCCATACTGATTCTCCAACCTTGCATACATGATAAACCGTATGCTAGATGTTTGTTCTGACCACTTTCGGATTCTTTATCTGTAAGAGGTTGTGATAGAATTTGACCCATGTTGATGATGTGTTACTTTGTATCTTGTGACGCCTTAACAATTTTGGATTCCTAAATAAAAAATGGGGATTAATTGACAATGATGTGGATTGAGATGTTAATGCTATGGTAAAAGATGAAATTTTATGAATCCTAATGAATCAGTTTCTTCCTTGTTGATATTTGCCTTTTTTTCACTTCCTCGTTGGAATCAAAATCAAAACAATGTAGTTCAAGCGGTTAAAAAGCAGCAGTAGAGGGATCAGCTGATTGCGGTGGGATTGTCTTTGGGACTGGATCTGTTGGAGTGACTGGGTGGCTTCTCTTTGCACTGGAACTGTTCTGTTGCAACTGTGTTTGGCTGTTCCTCCAAATCCATTTCGTTTCAATTCGTTGCCTTTCAACTTTTTTTTATAGAAAAGAAAAAAAACCATCGAAAAAAAATGGTCATGTGACTTTGGAGGGCAGAATTGTGGGTTTTGTATGGGAGCTGTCAAATAGTAATATTAGAATACATGGGATTTTAGATGTTATTTGTATGGTAAAGACTAGTTAAAAATCGATTACAAGATGTATTGATATCTGCTCTACCAAATACTCGAATATCAACACCCTGTTACTAACAAACATCCCCCTTTTTCCCCTTAAACACCACCTTATTTCGACCGTTTTACACTACAAAAATTTTTTTTTTCATGAAAAACATTAATACCTGTGATTCATATAAACCCAAAACCTCAAAACCGCAATTCCAAGTCATCTTTGTTTTAGGTGGTTAACTACTTAATTAGCAATGCCAGTGAGTATACAACCCTCATCAACCTCAGAATACTTTGATTTTAACGAATGCAGTCTCCAATTCAACCTTCTTTGGATTCTTTAATATCCATCATTCAAAAAGATCGTGAAGAATTACCAACTGATAAAATCCCAAACTTATATCCAATTTATTCTTTAGTATCCAATGATTCTATAACTGCTCATATTGCTTATCTTAAATTAACCAAACTAGGTGATGAAACCCATAAGAAAACTCCAAGTTTCCTTTTAGAAAGTGCTAAAAATGGTGATACAGTTGATAGATATTCATTTATTGGTTTCAATCCAAAGAAAATCATAAATACAGGACCTCAATTCAATAAAGAAGTTGATCCATTAGACATATTACAAGAAGAAATGAGTCAATACCGTCAAGCTCAATTACCTGGATTGCCTCGTTTAAGTGGTGGTGCTATGGGTTATATTTCATATGATTGTATTCGTTATTTTGAACCTAAAACTAAAAGAGATTTAAAAGATGTTTTGAAATTACCTGAAGCTTCATTAATGTTGTTTGATATTGTTATTGCTTTTGATAATGTTTTCCAAAGATTTCAAATCATTAATAACATTTCAATTGAATTGGATGATTCATTAGATTTAATCAAATCAAAATATGAATCAGCTAAATCTCAAATTAATGAAATTGAAACCATATTATTTGATGATTCAATTCCAATCCCATATCCAAAACAATCACCGATTGTCGAGAATCAAACATTCACTTCAAACATTGGACAAGAAGGTTATGAAAACCATGTTAAAACTTTAAAAAATCATATTTTGAAAGGTGATATAATTCAAGCAGTCCCATCACAAAGAGTTGCAAGACCAACTTCATTACATCCTTTCAATATTTATCGTCATTTGAGAACAGTCAATCCATCTCCATACATGTTTTATATCGATTATTTAGATTTCCAAATCGTTGGTGCATCACCTGAATTATTAGTTAAATCTGATTCCAAGGATAAAGTTATAACACATCCAATCGCAGGGACCATAAGACGTGGTAAGACTACAGAGGAAGATGATGAATTGGCCAATGTGTTGAAATCTTCATTAAAAGATAGAGCAGAACATGTCATGCTTGTTGATTTGGCTCGTAATGATATTAATAGAATTTGTGACCCAAATACAACAAACGTTGATAGATTATTAACAGTGGAAAGATTCAGTCATGTTATGCATCTAACTTCCCAAGTCAGTGGTACCCTTAGATCTGACAAGACAAGATTTGATGCCTTTAGATCAATTTTCCCAGCTGGTACAGTCTCTGGAGCTCCAAAAGTTCGTGCAATGGAATTGATTGGTGAATTGGAACAAGAGAAAAGAGGTGTCTATGCCGGTGCTGTTGGGTCATGGTCCTACGACGGCAAGACCATGGACACATGTATTGCCCTTAGAACAATGGTGGTTAAGGATGGAGTTGCCTATCTACAAGCTGGAGGAGGTATTGTGTTTGATAGTGATCCATATGATGAGTATATTGAAACCATGAACAAGATGAAGGCCAATAACAACACGATTGTCGAGGCTGAAAAGATCTGGATCGAGAAGCTGGCCAAGGGAGAGCATTAGAAGGGGGTAATCCAATCAAATATACAGTTTTTACATATAAAAAATGTGTTTAATTGTAGTTTTAATGAAAATGATTCGAGTCTATGATGGCTTGTGGCAGGGTAACTTTCGCGAACTGGCGATTTCACAGTAGCAAAAAAAAAAAATCGATGAATTGAAACTCAATTGAACAGAAATTACAATCACAACAGAAAACAGACAACGACAGAATTTAAATAGAGTCAATTGACCTGAGATTAGAGTGAGATTGGAATAATTGTGCTCTTGTTACTCAAATAATCTTTTAATTCCACATTTCTCATATACAAAACAAACCCAAATTGTTGAAGAGTCCAGGTTCTCTTTGCCCATCCCCTTTGACATCAACAACAACATCAAGACATTATCAACATCAACTAATACCTACCATTACAACCCCTTACAACACATGATATAATATGACTGAAGACGCCCATAACTTCAAGTTTAGTCAATGCTTTGGTGATAAGGCAGACATCGTCATTACTGAAGCTGACATCATTTCCACTGTGGAATTTGATCATACTGGTGATTATTTAGCCACTGGTGATCGTGGAGGTCGTGTTGTCTTGTTTGAAAGGAATAGTAATAAGAAAAACAGTTGTGAATATAGATTCCATACAGAGTTCCAAAGTCATGATGCTGAATTTGATTATTTGAAAAGTTTAGAAATAGAGGAAAAAATTAATAAAATTAAATGGTGTAAAAGAACTAATCAAGCACATTTTTTATTATCAACTAATGATAAGACTATTAAATTATGGAAGATTTATGAAAAACAAATAAGAATGGTTGCTGAGAATAATTTAAGTGATTTACAATATAATTCAGGTTCTTCAGCAAATAGTCATAATTTATCAATTAATTCATTACATTTACCAAGATTAACATTACATGATAAAATCGTGGCAGCTTCTCCAAAGAGAATCTATTCAAATGCACATGCTTATCATATCAATTCAATTTCAATAAATAGTGATGCTGAAACATTTATGAGTACTGATGACCTAAGAATTAATTTATGGAATTTAAATATTCCAGATCAAAGTTTTAATATTGTTGATATTAAACCTGCAAATATGGAGGAATTAACAGAGGTTATCACAAGTGCTGAGTTCCATCCACAAAGTTGTAATTTATTTATGTATTCTTCTTCAAAGGGGGCAATAAAATTGGCAGATATGAGAGAAAATGCATTATGTGATTCTCATGCAAAAGTGTTTGAAGAATATATTGATCCATCAAATCATAATTTCTTTACAGAAATCACTTCAAGTATATCAGATGTTAAATTTAGTTCAGATGGTCGTTATATTGCAAGTCGAGATTATATGACTGTTAAAATATGGGATGTAAATATGGAGAAGGAACCTGTTAAAACCATAAATATTCATGAACAATTGAGAGATAAACTATGTGATACTTATGAAAATGATGCAATTTTTGATAAATTTGAATGTGTATTTAGTGGTGATGGTAAATCTGTAATGACTGGTTCATATAATAATAATTTTATGATTTATCCAGATGTTACAAATCCTGAAAAGCAACAAGGTGATGAAATTGTTTTACAAGCTGATAGATCAGCTTTTAGATCTAAAAAGCAACAACAACATCAATTGAATAAAAGAAAGAATGGTATTCCAACAATGTTGAAGAGAGATTTAGAATTGGATAATATTGATTTTAAAAAAAGTATATTACATTTATCATGGCATCCATTTGAAAATTCAGTTGCCATTGCAGCAACTAATAATCTTTACATTTTTTCCACATTATAATGAATCCATTCAACTTCTTTTGTGCTTTGTGTGTTTCCAGTTATCTTTTTTTATATAAACGTCTACAATCTTTTTAAACTTCTGTAAAATTCTTCTAAATGAGAAGAACCTTTGTGATAATATTATAATAAATTATAAAAAAAGAAAACTCTGTTTTGAATGTAAATAATGTTTTAAAATGCTGGACACTTGTGTGCTGCTCTTTCCCTTTGTCATATATTGAATATATTTCATATCATAAATAAATTAATAAAATCTCTTTTAATCATGTTTAACATGACGGTTAATAACTGGATTCCAGAATAAAGTTTTATCACCATCACCCCAAAAGAAATTCTTTGTTCTAATATTTTGATAATCATATTGAATTGGCCAATCTTCATCAGAAACATGAGCTAAATGTGCTCTATGTTCAGCATGTTCAGCTTCAACAAAATATGTATTGATAGCAGTGGCAACAATGGCTGGGAGGGCAACGAAGTAAGAGATTTTTCTCCATAATGAAGAAGTACCTTCAGCATGATGTTGAGTTGCACTTAATTGTTCTTTGAAAGCTTGAGCAGCTTTTTTATCAGCAACTGGATAAGCTTTTTCAAAAGCCCATGGAGGTAATTCAGCCTTGTGGTGGTTCAATCTGATTTGTTGGCGTAGGGCACCTGCTTGTCTAGTGGCGATTCTTTTAAACATTTTAATTGTGGTTGTACAATTGAATTGTTGTTGATATTGAAGTTTGATGGTTTTTGATGTTTTTCGTAGTCTGATTTTTTTTGTTTTTTTTGGATCGTTTCATTGGTTGTGTGTTGACTTCCTAATCGGGTAATAAAAAGAAGAGCATTAAATTAAATAAATTTATATCTAGCTATTTATTCATTGAAGCATTATATCTCTCCAGAACATCGTATTCCACAATCTGATTGCCCTTTAGCTGGTTCCCTATGGTGAACCACCCGGGTCTAGTATTATGATCACGTCCAAAGATCTCCAATTTCCTAGCATGAGGTCCAACTAATCTTTCAACCATTCCATACAACTCATCAGGTTTCCTTGAAGTTTCTCTAGTCCCACTGACAAGAACATCACCCTCGATGTTCTTATTCAACCATTTCGGTGTACCTTTGACACCAACGATCAAATGTTCTTTTGAATGATTTAACCAATGTCCAGTACGTCCAGTACATATAGTCCTACCCAACTGATTAGTCTTTATCCAAATGATTTCATTCTGTACTTTATAACCCCAGTTACTTAGTGCCTTTTTACCAATCTCAATAGTACGACCAGTGACCCAAAGACAAATTATACCTTCTTCTTGGATCGAGGATAATGGTAATGAATTCAATTCAGTGTCATTACATGTCCCATATGGTAAATTCATATGGATGTTCCATGCAGGGTCTGCTATAACTGCAGCGAACTGGCCCAGTATTGTGAAATCAAATTTACGTACATCGCAATTGATCCATTGTGGTGATAATTGACATCTTGAAATTGTGGATATAGAACCATTAATGTTCCAATATGAAATTTTTTCATTGTTTAATAGTTGGTTATTGAATGAATTACATATTTGTTCTTCATTTTGAGCAAAATTTTTGGGAATATGCTTTGTATAATGAACATAACGACATGAATCCATCTTGTGACAAGTGTCTAAATAAGAACAATCACCTAAGGAAGGGTCTGTTTGGTTTGTTATTATGGGGATGAAGTGGATTTTGGTTTGGAAACAATGATCAAAAGATTTGTGATATTGTAAATGTTGTGGATTGTTACATGTTTCAATAAATGGTGATTTTGGGGTAGTGAAGCGTAGTTTTTCCCTTGAAAGTTGCACAGTTGATGATTCGTAGTTTAATAGTGATGATAATTTGGTTAGATTTGGGTTTTCCATTGGTGATAATAAAGATTGTAATTGATCTAAAGGTGAATTGTATTGGATTTTGGTATCAACTGGTTGAGTTAATGGTGGTTTGGGATCCAATTTTTCCAACAATATTTCCAAATTTAATGAATTTATAAACGTTATAACATCATTTTCAAACTCTATTGAATATTTATCTAATGATTTGATCTTGTTTAATTGAACAATGAATAAATCATAACTCATCCTATTCTTGATGGATTTCGAATTAAACAACGAGTGGATCGTGTAACAACATCCCAAAATCGGCTCCACCAACAAGATCCTATGATTCTCTAGCAAAAACCTCACCAATTCAATATCAATCATCACTAATCTTTTGCCACTCAAAATTCAATTAATTGATTAAAATTCAATTTAAAATCTTGTTATAATTTCGCGACTTTTTGTTTGACTTTTGTTTTGGAAAAAAAACATCATCAACAAAAAAACTTCTATACAAAAATTTTGATTAAAGCCACCCATTTACAACCCCCAAAATACCCATTATGGCATCTTCTAGTACGTCCCAATCGAATCCCCTGCCCTTGTTTATACTAACCTCTTTTTTCCCAGCACCCGCAATAACCACATTCTCCCCAATCCAACAACCATCAGGTTCAATAACCAAGTTGATACCAGGTTTATCAACATTCACCAACCTCAACACATCCTCTGTATCCAAGCCTTCAAAAATCGGTGCGGTACCGGTATACAGTGATCGTGTGTCACAGGTGGCTAGGCATCAGCGTCAAGCGGTGAAGCAAGAAGATGGTGAAGATGGTGAAGGTGATGTAAAGCTAGATGTTGCAAAGACCCAGGAATATAAATTGAAACATTTTAAGGAGTTGAAAGTTTTCAAGCCACAAGGGCTGAAGGATCAATTGTGTGAGGTTGTTGTCACGGGGGTCAAGGTTAATAATAGTTGTGTGGAACAGATATTGAATGAAGTTGTTGAGGTGAGTTATGAATGGAGTTTTATTGATGAGGGTGGTGAGAAGAAGATTGTGTTTGTTAGGTTTATTGATGATGATTTGGCCAAGAATGCAAAGCAGATTAAGAGGTTTATTGGTGTGCATGGTGTTGTGGTGAATGAAGTTGAGTGGGAAGTTAATGTGGAGGAGAATACAGAAAAGTTTATAAAGGATGTTATTAAAGTTGAAAATATTGATTTAGATGAATTGAATGGGAAGATTTCAAAGATTTTATCAAATTCTATGCAAGTATGGAATGGTGACAATTTTGCAGATTATCAAGTTGATGAGAGTGAATTGCATGACCTACCACCGGAATCTTTACCACAGTTGAGAAAAGATATTAAAGAGTTTAGATTAAAAGTGTTGGAGAATGAAAAAAGGAAAAGGGAAAGGGAGTCATTAGAAGAGATGAAGAGATCTAAGGTACAATTGAGGAAATTGTTTGATAGGTTTAAGAATGAAGAGAATCAAATGTTGGAAGATGATGAAGATGAAGAGAGTGAAGATGATGAAAGTGAAGATGAAGATGATGAACAGTATGAAATTTCAAGGATTGAAAAAGAGAACCAATTGGTGTTGCAAAAATATAAAGAGTTGATGAAAGTTGTTGGATATCAAGAATACAAGAATAAAGAATTAATTGAAGATTTAGAAGTATTGAGACAATATGAAGTTGGATTAGATAAATCATTACATCCGGAGTATGAATTGGGTAAATTTAAACCATCAAATCGTGATAAATTGCTTGAATTGGAACAAGATGAAAAAGATCGTCAACAGGAATCTAGGGAATTGGAAGTTGTTAAACAAAGTGAGAATTTTTTAAATAGTATAAATATTCCATTAAAGAAGAAGAGTGTTGGATTGGATGGGGATGAATTGGAACAAGTTTTGGAGAGGATCAAGCCTAAAGTGGAGGGATACATTGAAGAGTTTTTAGGGGTCAAAGAGGATGAATTGTTGGAGTACATATTGATGATTATTAAAGAGCATCAGGATAAACAAGAGTTGGTTAAAGAGTTGAAGGAGACGTTTGATGAGGATGCTGTTAAGATTGGAGATTTGATCTGGGGAGACTTTGAGAGCGAGAGCCGAGGAAATAATAGTTAAATAATAGGAATAATATAATCAATTTACTATGAATTATTCATTCAATTAATGTGAATTCCATGTAAATTCCATGTAAATTCATCATTTTCTCCATATTAAAAACAATTTAAGCCTTGGTACATTGTTAACTGTTGAGCTCGCCTAAATCTCACTTATTTTTCACAGCCTAAACCTTGTGCCGTGCACATCAGATTTACACAACTCAGGTATTCACTATGAATACACATCCAATACATCACAACACAGCATGTTATACACACAACTTTGATTAATAGCCAGTAATGGCAGGGAGCATCCAGCCCGAAATAGGATACGAATTTCAGTTAGAAAGATTATAAAAGGAGAGTGGGATCCCATGTAAATGTAAATTAGAATATTTTAATAGACAACTGGTTTTTAGAGTAAAACTTTGTAAAAGGAACTCGCGAAACCCCAACAGGTTAAAAGCCGATAAAACTACAAGGAATTATAAGAAAGAAAGCTAATATCATCAATTATTTTCAATCATCATGGCTAATACTAGATCCAACAACGTTGACAATTCTCAATCAACCAATGGTACTACACCAACTGCAACAG